ATCTCTTAAAAGCAAAAATAAATTCAAGATTTTTTGTTCTCTATGTTGCCCTTCGTGCGTGTTTGTGAGTTTTACTCGTGTTGCGAATTGCGATTCATTTCATCCTCATTTCCACTGCGTCAGGTGGCATCAGAGCAAGATAGTCGTGGGAATGCGAGGCTCAATACTAAAGTTTTTTGGGAACAACCATCTCGCCAACAAAGGTAGGGAGGTATAGGTCCTTCGACGGTAGCCTTAGAAGTTTAGAGACAACGAATCAGTCAAGTAAAGCTCATTGGTCGAATGTGGACGATGCGCCAATACTCCGACATGTGTCTTGCCGCTCGCAATCATAGAGGTAATGCAAAGTGCCATGCGGTGGGTACATGGGCGAACATTCTCTCAACTCTTGTTTTATGCATAATGGAATAGATTAGTAAGGAAGCCATTAGGATTAACATTAGCATCGCTGAAGATATGGATTTGATAAATAATAGACCCAACACAATGTAAAGATAAAGAGCCCAAGGTGTCTTCTTGCATGGGCTTAGATCAATCCTTTGACATTTTCCTTTTCAATTATAGGTAATCGTTCTTTAGATTTTGACCCCCTATCCCCTCTATTACTTCCCATCATAAGACCTTTCTCGGGCTCAAAATGGGCGAATAAACAAATCTCTTAATAGAATAAACCCAACAATAAAAAAACATTTGTTCAGGCAGCATGAAATTAAGTTAAATGAGCTTCTACGGTTCTACCTCATTAGCAGCAACATCAAAATGCTCTTCGTGTCTGTATACTCTCAGCCTCACTTATTTACCCAATTGAATTGAGATCAAAAGGCCGACACGACTGTTAAGTCCAGATCCAGCCCGTGTGAGTTAGCTGCAAGAAATCATGAGATTTACTTGCTCCATTGCAAGACTAATGCCAACTGGACTTGGGCTAATTCAATCATAAGTTAGAAGGATTCAGCTGAAAGCACGTTGCTAGCTCAACCATAGCGGTTAGGAGTTTCGTTTTGACCCGAAAGAGAATGACACAAATTGTCAATCTTTTTTAATAGTCGGAATGTCGCTTTAGTCTCTTCATTTTTCATAACCTGCAGTAGTTTGCCATAACTAATTTTTGAAGGGATAATGACACAAATGATCCCTGAATTTTGACCAATTATTCAATGTGATCCCTAAAATTTTAATTTATTTAATGTCATCTTTAAACTTTAACTCAATATGCAATGTGGTCCATTAATTTTTTATACGTATTCAATGTAGTCCATGAACTATACGAACATGTTTAATGTCAACATTGAACATTTTCGTATAGTCCATGGACTAAATTAAATATGTACCAAATGTTTAGGGACCACATTAAATAAATTAAAAGTTCATAGACGATATTACACATTGAGCTAAAGTTCAGGGATCACATTGAATAAATGAAAAGTTCATGGATCACATTACATATTAAGCCAAAATCCAAATACTATTTATGCCATTTTCCCTTTATTAAAAGTGCATTGTTCTCGAAGCGCATGATACCAAAAAGGAGGGCAAAGGTGGGCGTCGAACAATTTCGGACATAGTTATAGGCTTCACAACTCATTTATGTCAATAATTACATGTGGGGTGAGCATGGTTATAGGGTAAAATCTGGAATTGAAGAATCGGACTGGTAGGAACCTGTTTGGTTCTAGATTCTAAGGTATGCATGATAGGTTCTAAGTTCCAAAAATTGGAGAAATTATTTTGACGGGTAGGTTTCAGGTTCTAAATAGATGGAACTTGAAACTTGTAACAAGTTTTGTATTTTTCTTAGTCTATATCTTTGCGTGATCCTGCAGTATTCCATGGCATTCAACGATGAGTGTAAAATCTGGAACTACTAGCCCGAACTTCCATTTTATAACTGAGACTTTTAAGTTTATTAATGTTTTATATTCTTCGGATGTCTAAGTATAAATTATGGTCAGTGGATTGTAGCAACAAGTGATGGTAATTACAGATAATGATTCACTACAATCGTTCAATAAATAATACAGGTGGAACTTGGGTATATCCTGAAACCGACCTTAAAATCTGTGACACGGTAGGTTCCAGATTCTAAGCTATGTTGGATAGGTTCAAGATTCTAAAAAAATAAGAAACCTATTTAGAATCCAGGTGGAAATTATACAAACCTGGAATCGTTCGTTCATACCGCAAACGACTGAATTTCAATCGAAAATCACGGACAATAATCAGTTGAGGAGACCGAAGTCTCGTTCTTTCCCTTTGTCACTTCGTATTTATTGCGTGTTCACCATCGTTGAAAAGTCACGGTTTCGTCCCTTCTCTGCCCCGATTAGGTGGGACCCATCTATTTCCTTTTACGGATATGAATATCCTCGTTAATTAGCAATAAACTCGTGAGACTTGAGGAACCAATCATATAATTAGCGCACGAGACATTATCGAGCCACAACATTTCTACATGATGACATCACACTGCCACCTTCGGTGTAGGAGTGGGAAGTTTGAAGAAATCCAAGCAACTGGAGTCAAACAAGATCAGGTCCAATCGAGCTGGTGATCTTTGGCAACTCCTATGCATTTGAATGGGTCCAAGAAAGCTTCACCCAAACACTCCCTATTCTTTGGGTTGGCTTGGCTCATCATCTTTGTCCAATTTTTCTCATGTCTACATCAATATATTAAACCTCCCCACCTCTTCTCTTGGTGGGTGTGATTCATATTCCTCATCGACAAAAAAACACGAGACTCCCGCTCCCCAATGAGCGGGCGGGGTTGCAGAGGTAGCTACTCCGAGCCTCTGCTGAACGTAATCTTAATTTAAAGGTGAATCAGGATAAATATTGTGTCCCGATTTCTCTTTCTTGATTTTACTCTCTATTTCATTATAAAGTTTTTCTACGATACTTAGAAATCTTCAAGCACCTCATAAATTTGCTGCATTGGTCCAATCGCTCATCCCGTGTCTCTGGAGAATGAAGCGAAGGATTTACTTGCTTGGTTTCATGGGTTGAGATAGCTGAAAAGGAGAATTCATTATAAGAAAAGCAAAGCATAAAAAAATAAAAGTCACGTCCGAAAAACACAAAAGAACCTTAGATGCCGTGAATAGTCAACCTTCAACATTGAAACATAATGAAACCGTTTCACTGTGATCCCAAGGGCCTCTCCAACATGTTTAAGGACCGAGGTCGATTTCACCTGACCGCAAAAGCTTCATCCTAGCACCCCCATAAAAAGACGATATAGAAGCGTTTTTGAGAAGGTCAATGCATTAAATTAAGGGAAAGGAGCCACCGAAAATCTCAAATATTGCGACATATTAACACTAAATTTTTTCTTGTGACACCAAAAATTTCAAACTTGTGCTTGAGTGACACATTTACTGTTCGTCAAGATTTTGTCAATGAGTATCATTAAAAATCTACCTGTATGGACGCTGGAAGGAAAATGGTGTTGACATATACTCACGCGACTTAAATGAAATATAAAACAACATAAAAAAATTCCAAACTTGTGCCTGTGTGACCATTTATCATCCATCGAGATTCTGTCAACGAGTATTGTTAAAAATCTACCTGCATGGACGCCGGAAGGCAAATTGTGTTGACATGACACCCACGTGACTTAAATGAAATAAAAACGACGTTATTTTGGCTAAAAAATCATCTAATGGAACATTAAAAGAGGGTAAATGTGTCACTATGTACAATTTTGGGGTTTTTTATATCACAATAAACATTTCATGATAAATGTGTCACACTGAGCATAATTTGGGATATTTTATGTTACAATAAAAAATTCAGGGTAAATATGTCACAGTAGATATAGTTTGGGATTTTTTATGGCCATTTTCCCTAAAAGTAATTACTTATTTTGTTGTCATATTATAGGTATGAGATTATCGATATCACTCATTTCATTGTATCCGAGCTATTCCATCGCTATATTTAGACATAAAATGCCACATTTCTCGATGCAAAAAAGTCTCAAATCTTGTCCGCACTCGAATTACCGGCTATATACTCCGTGCCTAGCATTTTTCTTTTGTCTGCAACTGAAAATTTGTGAAATTTTTTTGCGAGCTAAACGAGTAAGCCATTACAAATTCGCAATCCCATTGCAGATTGCGAGCTCATCTAGAAGATTAAAACTCCTAGTACATAGCTAACAAAAACCAAATCCAAATGCAGCACTTCTTCCCGTTTTCTCTTTCTTGCTTTATCTGTTTTGTTAATGGCTAGGGAGACCGGACTCAGTCTTCCAAGTAGTCTTGGCGGTAGTGCCGTCAGGCTCAAATTACAATGACAAGCTCGAACATGAAAACATTTGACAGTTTAAATTTTGGTGCTGCACTTTCTAACATGATATCGGAGTCAGTACTATCTCTTTCTGCGATTGTGCATCCACCCCCATCAGTCAAATTTTCACATGTCACTTGTAATCCGGTTTGCACGCGAGGGGAGATCCCAATTGGTCAAATTTCACGTGCCGCTCGTAATCCGGCTTGTACGTGAGAGGGAGCGTTGAAATATTATCTCATATCACTTGATAACGAATCATAAATGCTCTTTATATTCATGTGATATCCATTCACCTATCAGTTTAAGTTTTTAAAGCAGTATGTCTCACATTGTATCAAAGTAATAATATATTGAGTTCGAATCTTTTCAGGCTACGCTTAATCGGCACTAGTACGATAAAAGTATCACTATAGTAAATTTTCTTGACCTAATTGTTTGCAAACATTTGTCGTACATGGACATCTGAGGTCACCATGAAAAACTCCCCACGCTATTCGCGACTCCTTCTAACCCTTCCTCAAAGTTAGACGAATTCAAACACCCATAAAACCACGAAACCGGCCTTAAATATATCCTTAAAATATTATTACTTTTATAATAGGCCCATTTCACTTCATTATTTTGTAATAATAGTCCCCTAATATTTTATTCCCCATCCTTCATTGACTTGCTCCCTTTAAATATGTCACGTAAAACCCTCATATTCGCTGGTCTCTAGTAGAATAATAATGCGCTTGACATCACCATTAACATTTCCTCCCTCACCATCATATCTTTCTTTCCCATCTCCGCTCCATCATTTCATCTTCCAAGCTGCAGATCCAATCGTTCCCGACATGGACTCCGACTTCCCTGCCGGCAAGTCACCTAGGCGAGAGCTCCTAGGCCCCCGCCCGGCACCGCTCAAGGTCCGCAAAGACTCCTACAAGATCCGGAAGCCCCCCATGGCCCCCCAGCAACAGCCGTCGCAGCAGCTGCCGGCCCCGCCCCGCCCGCCGGTCATCATCTACGCCGTGTCCCCGAAGGTCATCCACACAAACCCTAGCGATTTCATGTCGCTAGTCCAGCGCCTCACCGGGGCGTCGTCCACGTACTTGCCATCCCCGGTGGCCTCTGGTGGGGTGTCGCCGGCAGCACGGTTCGCGACGGTCGAGAAGGCGAAGCTGCCAGAAGGGAAGCAGATCAGGGGCGGTGGGGACATATTGGAGGAGATAGAATCGATGGGGCAAATCGGTCATGGTGGAGTGGTGGAGAGGACCGGGTCAATACCAGGGATCTTGTCGCCCGGGCCGGCCTCGCTCCAGCCGATCCCCGCGACCTTCTTCTCGCCGCTGTCGGACCCGAACCCGCTGAGCTTCTTCCATGACTTGAGCCCAGCTCTTCACAGCACCAAGAACCACTTCACGGAGAACAGTTTTTTGCTTCAGAGTCCATCCCCATTTATCTCGCCTTGGATAACTTCGCCTGCCCCATCTCTAGATTTTTTCAGTAATTTCTTTGACTTGTAACACAACAGACTAGAACTAGGACAAACATTTTAAAAACATGGGTGGTTTAACCGTGGAAATTGCTGTAATTTCTCAACCTTTGTTGAGATTATAGAGAGAGTTTGAATTGGAATCGCATTCGATTCTTTATTTGTGGCCAGCAAGTTGGAAGCTTGTGGCTTGGATTTTGGTGTTGCTTTCTTTCAATTTAGTATGGTAGGCCAATTGATAGATGATGCGGCCAGTCCTGGCTGAATAAATTCATTGTAATAGCTACCGGTCCCCCTTTTGTCATCCAATTTTCTTCTTCTCTTTTGTTATTTTGCAGGAGATATCATTCGCAAATGTTTGACACTATGTGATTATACGCTTCTTCTTGTTGCAACATGCTTCCGGCAAAAGAAGATTTGCTAATCAGCACTTCTATTTTTCTGTCGCATTTTCTTATGCTAAACGGCCAAAGAGAAAAGAGAAGACTTCGTGCGAAACATTCAAACCTTGTATTGACCTCCTTGAAAAGGGTTGTGTCATTGTGCTTGGCCCGGTCTGATGATTTGTGCTTCTTTTTTCCTTGATGAGAGCTAGAAATGTGAATCCTCGTCAGGTGAATGGCTTGCTTCCGTAGGCCTAACACAATTGTTGTGAATATTGCCTATGTTAGAAATTTCAACCCAAAAATTTAAGCATGAAAATAAGGAGCAATAGCTCTGATATCATGTTAGAAAGTCCAATCCAAAAACTTAAATTGATAGGTAAATGGAGACTACATGAATATAAAAAACATTTAAAATCCGTTGTCAAGTGTTGTGGGACAATACTTTAACAGTTCATAAGAGATTGTTCTTCTCAATCTAAGTCGAATGCCGAGTCTTAACATGTTCATGGTCCGAACCCTGTCCTACAAGTTTAGATGTTGACTCCAAGATGGTTGACTTTTAATGCAAACTTGTTTTATATATAGATCGACATATGGAACAAGCTCATAACGAGGTGAGAGAGAGTCCATCTAGCAAAGCTATATATCAATATAATTTCTCGAAAGGAAAATGAAGCCAGTGCTAGGATAGCAACTTTCGTTTTGGCTCTTTTTGAAGTGTTTGGGAACATAAATCCGCTTTTTGTGAGCACCTTGAAGTTGTAGCTAAAGGAGCTTTTGGAACCTCTACAAACATAATTCTGTCGTTTCTCAAGATTTTGAAACATATGCTGCCAAACGTTAGATAGACAGATAACGAAAGTAGGCACAACTCAATTTTACGTCACGAAGGGCAACTAAAAAGAGGTTGTGTCATGTGGCAAACTCACGATGAGTGTCGTGAGTCAAGACAACCTTCTTTGTAATTAGCTAGCCAAAATACCCAATCAAGATCCGAAATATCTTTGATCTCGCCAGGTCAATACACTAAACTTAAAACCGTGTTTTTGATGTTAAGTCTCACTTTAACGATCACAATCTCTTGATTTACAATTATAAAATAACTCTAATATATCATCTCACGATCATGTGTCATTTTATGTCATATAAAGCAATATGAACAAGTTCATAACGGATTACTAGATTTTAGCCAAAAGGCCAATAAAGGTATAGGTCTAGAAGACATTTGATGTTTGCCAAACTTTAGATAGACAAATAACGAAAGTAAGCACAACTCAATTTTTCGTCACAAATGGAAACTAAAAAGAGGTTGAGTCATGTGGCACGCTCACGATGAGTGTCGTGAGTCAGGACAACCTTCTTTGTTATTAGCTAGCCAAAATACTTAATCAAGATCCGGAATATCTTTGATCTTGCCAGGTCAATACACTAAACTTAAAACCGCGTTCTTGATGACCAGTATCACCTTAACGATCACGATGTCTTGATTTATAACTATAAAATAACTCTAATATATCATTTCGCAATCATGTGTCATTTTATGTCACATAAAATAATACAAACAAGTTCATAACGGATTACTAGATTTTAACCAAAAGACCGAGAAAGGCAATAGGTCTAGAAGACATTAGATGTCTGAAATTGTGTCATCTATACAATGTTATACTCGAAGGGACAATAGATTTTACAAAAAAATTAGTTGATTTTGGCAAGAAAATAAGTCTATAAGGGGGGACCAAAATTGATTTGGCTTTGGAACACATGCTTGACCAAGCAAAGGAACACCGACACGAAAGGGGGACAGAAGAGTAGTTGAGCTTCTTTATCGCGGTGGGCTCAATCAAACAATATATAGCTCTATATATATATATATATATATATATATATATATATATATATATATATATATATAATGGACACAGTGCCAATTGGCAATTACAAAACCATCTTGACAAAGACCAGCTCGTACTTGTACATGAACCGCTTGACTCAAGGCTCGAGCCCTAAACAGAAGGTGCTGACCTTGACTTTTTCACACACCAAAGCTTGACATCGCCCTCTCTCCACATATTGATTAATAATAAGCGGTACTGAAATCTTCAGAACCATCCATCTGAACTTCTTCTTCCCTTCCTTAGATGAGTATTGACTCCGGAGGAAAAGAACAAGAAGGAAGAGATCTCAGACATTGTTGAGTAGCCTTTTTCTAGAAAGGAGATGAAGTTGGGGTGGTCCTTTCACCCGTTGGTCGTGTCTGTCATGAGATGCGCATCGGTCCAACAGACATTTTTACTTTTGTTGTGGCTTTTCAATTCGGGCTTTGTCGCTGCGCGCTTGATTTGTTTAATGCTGCTGCATAATGTCAAAGCGTAAATGGGGGTGGTTGCGCAAAAAGCGATTTATGAAGTGGAAAGTCTAGCCATGTGTTAACATTTGATTTATGTGCAGTCTATGTATTAAGTAACTGTTCATTCGTATTAGGGGGAGATTGCTAATTTTTTTATTAAGCGGTCCCCATGGAAGAAACTTAGCTTGAAGGACATCCTTGGGGTTTAGATTCTAGTGTCAATTAGTAAGCTCAAAGGGCATTCTTGAGGTTAAATTATGTTCTTATTTAACAAACTTTGGTCCTTAGTATCGTAAGAATTGCGGGAAAATTACCAAAAAAGTCATCAACCTATTCCATTTATGCCAATTCAGTCCTAAACCTTTCAATTTGGCCAATTCAGTCCTAAACCTTTTGCAAACCAGCCAATTCAGTCCTAAACCTTTTGCAAACCAGCCAATTCAGTCCTTTTGGCCGGCCGGCTGACGTGGCGCCGGCCGGCGTCCACGTGGCAATATTTTTAATATTTTTTTATTATTCTTTTCGAATTTTTTTCTTTTTTCTTTTTTTTTTTCTTTTCCTTCTCCCCCCTGGCCTGTCCGGCCAGGGGAGGCTCGTCGGCGAGGGCCCGGCTCCGGCGAGGCGAGCCGGGCCCTCGCCGCCGCCGGGCGAGGGTGGAGCTCGCCCAACCAAGGCGAGCTCGGCGAGGCGGAGCTCGCCTCGCCATGGCGAGCTCCGCCTCGCCGGATCTGGGCGAGGCGGAGCTCGCCCGGCCAAGGCGAGCTCCGCCTCGCCCGGATCCGCGGGCGGAGCTCGTCCCGGCCATGGCGATCTCCGCCTCACCCGGCTCGGGCGAGGGCGGAGCTCGCCCATCCATGGCGAGCGGGCCCTCGCCGCCGCCCGGCTCGCCATGGCCGGGCGAGCTCCGCCTCGCCGGAGCCGGGCAAGGCTCACCCGGCGGCGGCGAGGGCCCGGCTCGCCATGGTCGGGCGAGTTGGGCCCTCGCCGGCGAGCCTCCCCCCTGGCCGGACAGGCCAGGGGGGAAAAGGAAAAGAAAAAAAAAAAAGAAGAAAAGAAAAAAATTCAAAAAGAATAATAACAAAATATTAAAATATTGCCACGTGGACTCCGGCCGGTGCCACGTCAGCCGGCCGGCGGCCACGTGAGCGTCGGCCGGCCAAAAGGATTGAATTGGCTGGTTTGCAAAAGGTTTAGGACTGAATTGGCACAAATGCAATAGGTTGAGGACTTTTTTTGTAATTTTCCCTGAGAATTGCAGCGCACTGTCTCATTTTCCTCGTCTACGATGAAATCACGAGATATCGCTTTTAATTAGATTGCTTTGTTGGCATTCAAATCAACTTTTGAGATGTAACAAGATCGCGCACGCTAAACTGCGACGAAAGTCAAACTCGGGCTTAGATTTATTCGGTAAAAGTAAAACACCATGTTGGAGCGACCTGATTGGAAATAAATTCAAGATTTGACGACTCGATTGAATTTATAAGAGGCAACATCACCTACGCAAGGAGAAAAGTCATAGTGGGATTCTTATGAATATAAGGTAATTTATTCTCTCGTTCCTAAAGTTGACGAGAGTAATTAAACTAGTGATCAATGGCCATAATAATGAAGGACACCCTTAATTAATATTAACAGAAGAACCCTAAACTCGCCTCGAGCAGCGTGGGCTTGACCAGGTTCCTATTACTTTGGGTGGCTTCTATTTTTCATTTTTTTAGCTTTGTCCATCCCTAAGGAAGAAGAAAAAGGACATGGCAGATGAATTAAATTTGAGTAAAATTCTCAATTGATTACAAGTAGGGATTTAAAATAGCATATGTTGGTTCTAGAAGATAAGAACAATGCCTACCGACTACGATGAAACGTGCAAGAAACTGTTTAATAGAATGGAAATGGAGGGTTCCCACGAGATCCTCCGTATATGGTAGGTGGTGTTGATATCTCCGATTAAGAGGGGGGGAATTACCACAAAAGTTCTAAACATATTATACTTGTGTCAATTCAATTATAAAAAATTTCACATTTTGCTAATTGAGTCCATTCGGAAATCGTTGACGTGGAAAATTTTTTTATAAAAAACTGTACAGGTTAGTGCCAGGCGTCCTACGGAGCACTATTGGCGTCCACATCGTTGATTTTCGGTTAAAATTGGTAAAGTGGACTCAATTGGAAAAAAAATTACAAAAAATCGTTCGCGTCAGCGCCGGTTATTGGATTTACGTCGGTGATTTTTGATTAAAATTGGCATGATGAACTCAATTGACAAAAAAATTATAAAAAAAAATTATCCACCTCAACGCCGACCGTCCTACATTGCGCAACCACCGTCCACGTCGGCGATTTCCAGTTAAAATTGATCGAATTAACTCGATCAATTGACAAAATATAAAAAGATTGAAGACTAAATTATCATAATTGAAAATTTTGGGATTTAATTGACACAATTTATGACTTCTTCTTTTTTTGGTAATTTCCTCGTTCAGAGGCCACTTCGCACGTGATTTCAGCTCGCAAATGGGTTCACATGGACCATGATCAAGCAGTTAAAAAGAGATTAATCCATCGATCTTGATTTTAACCACCTTTCCTGCTGCCCAAACCGCAGTCACTTTCTTCTATGACCCCACAAAGATTTGGACATCATTATTAAAGGATTTAAGGAAGAGAATTTGTGGTTGGCTTCGACGACTTCTCTTCATGTATGTGACCTTAAAACAAGCTGGATGTCATCATCCACAGGCCAGTCACAATAACCCAAATCACAAGAAATTTGATTGGGAACGCTGATGGCGACTCCCATTTCGACGGACGTAGCAGCCTTATCGAGATCCTCACACTGAGTACACCGAGTGTTTACGCGATTCGATCGGTGTAACTTCGTTCCAATTTCATCCCTGTTGTTGATATTCTCAAAGGAACCGTTTTTTTTTTTCTTCTTTCTTGAAGTTCTTATTTCCTTCCTGATACTTTGGCCAATCACGTTAATCTTCCTAAGCAGAGGGCTTTCGTTTGGATTAATGCTTCAAGGATCGGGATTGTCAAGCTGTAAACATCAACATGCATGCAAAACGGGCAGTCATTACAAATGATCCCTGAACTCTAGCATATGGGTGAAGCGGTTTTCCTCCTGCTAAACCTCAATTGGACACGGTTGCAACTTTTGAAGACCAACGCCTTCGCATTTTCATCCCACACCTCAAATGCCTAAAATGAGACATCCATCACTTAGTCCAAGTTAAATTCAGGTGATAATTATACAGATGATCCCTAAATTTTAGTCAAATGTGCAATGTCATTCTTAAATGTGACCCCTGCACTTTTAGTACATGTTCAATCCGGTCCCTAGACTATATGAAAATATCCAATGTTATTTTTCTATTTATTCAAGTTAACGGAGTTTGTTGATTTGGCATTTAATTCGTTAAGTTTGAACGATGGACCAAAAATGAAATCACATATGGATTATACAAAGTACGATATTTGACTCAAATTAAGATATAATCATATCCATGTCATCAAATAACATGAACAATCACTTGTCCAAATTGAACATATTAAACAAATTTGAAGGATTAATATTTTCCAATTTGAATTGACTATCTTAAGTGGGATAATTCACGTGTAGCGTTTTTTTTTTTTCATCATACCGGATTGAAAGTCAAATCAGCAAATTTTGGTAACTTATATTAATAAAAAGACAACACGTATATTTTTAGGGAAAAGTGCCAAAAAAGTCCTAAACCTTTTGCATTAGTGCCAATTTAGTCCTAAACCTTTTTTTGGTGCCAATTCAGTCCTAAACCTTTTGCATTGGTGCCAATTTAGTCCTAAACCTTTTTTTGGTGCCAATTAAGTCCTAAACCTTTTAAATTAGTGCCGATTCAGTCCTAAACCTTTTGTTTTTGTGCCAATTTGGTCCTTTAATATTTTTTTGAATTTTTATTTTTTTCCTTTTTTTTCTTTTTTTTTGGTTTTCCCTCCTTCCTGCGGCCGGTCGCCGGTCCGCGGCAGGCTCAGGCTCGCAGCTCGACCTCGCCGGCCCTTGCGAGGGCGGCCTCGCCGGCGAGGGCTCGAGACTCGCCCGACCAAGGCGAGGCTCGAACCCTCGCCGGAGGCGCGGCGAGGGCGAGCCTCGCCATGGTCGGTCGAGGCCCGACCTCTCCGGATCTGGCGAGGTCGGCGGGCGAGGTCGACCTCGCCGGATCCGGCGAGGTCGTGCCTCGCCCGACCATGGCGAGGCTCGAGCCCTCGCCGGAGGCCGCGGCGAGGCGAGCCTCGCCATGGTCGGTCAAAGCCCGACCTCGCCGGATCGACGAGGTCGAGCCTCGCCCGACCAAGGCGAGGCTCGAGCCCTCGCCGGAGGCCGCGGTGAGGCGAGCCTCGACCGACCATGGCGAGGCTCGCCCTCCCGGCGAGGCCGCCCTCGGCAGGTGGCCGGCGAGGTCGAGCTCGCCGGCCTGCCGATCGCCGGACCGGCGGCCGGGAGGAAGAGGAGAGACCAAAAAAAAGTGGAAAAAAAGGAAAAAAATATAAATTCAAAAAATATTAAAATATTATTAAAGTTGTCCACGCGCCATCGTCGGCGCCGGTGACCAGCCCCCCGGCCGGCGTCCACGTCGGCAAATTCCGATCAAAATGCCGGAAGGATAAATTGGCACCAATTAAAAGGTTTAGGACTTAATTAACAAAAAGATTTAGGACTAAATTGCACTAAATTGACACCAAAAAATGATTTAGGACTAAATTGGCACTAATGCAAAAGGTTTAAGACTTTTTTGGCACTTTTCCCTGTGCTTTTATATAGTCTAGAAACTATAGATTGAACATGTAGTAGTAAAGGTTAATGACTACATGAAACATTAAAAGTTATGGGACGACATTACACATTGAGCTAAGTTCACAAATCATATTAAACAAATTAAAAATTTAGAAACGACATAACAAATTGGACCAAAGATCAAGAACTATTTATGTCAGTTTTCCTAAATTCTATTTGATGGTCAACGCTACAACACGTTCAACAATTATGGACCGTTATGTCTAACAATTGCCGAAATCTCTTCAACAATTGCAAACAGGAGGCTTTAACAATACAATACCCCGGAGAGACTCGAAGTTCATCTCATCAGTGGACAGAGAGTAAGAATCCTTCTATATTTTCGACCTTCTTCAGGCTTACACATCCATTAGCACAAAAAATTAGTTTAGGCGACAGAACAAAAAGCCATACGAACAAACAACAAATGAAAGACTCGGTAAGGGCGAGCCGGTGCTTCAACTGTACATTTGACATAGAAGCGATTCCAAACCTGCACATCTAAATCTGGAGGAACCAAAAAAATTTGTCAATACACAGAGCTCGAGCCGTCGCTTCCACTGACGCTCAGAGGACTCCCAGGGCTGTGTGTCTTCCAAGTAACCGTCTTCAACGGATCTTTCTCTGATACAGGCATGTTAACATCAACCTTGGACACAATTGAAGGTTGCTTACCCCTGAAAACCCCCCACAAATAGAATTTTGACTGGAATCCTGCAAAAAGAGTAGGAGAGAAGCAAATCGAATCATGAGGAGCTTTTCTTAAGAAAATTGACCTAACTCTCGTTAAAAGATTAAGAAATGGTCCTTTGCGACTATACTGTCAATTTTGTGCACAAAACCTGCTTCTGAAAACCAAAGGAAACATCGCTTTCAGTTTTATATAAGAATAGAAACGTGTTTCGCGTATTGTGTCTCACTAAGTCATTACCGATACAACTTGGATATTGAAAATTGCCAGATTAACATAATGACAAGCTCCACCACACTTCACATAGGGTTGCCTTACAGTTCTGACAAGAAGAATAAAATTGGAGAACACCATAAATCGGCTTGCTTTCAAGAATATTTCTCAACCGGAGCCTTGTGGAGAACAAAACAAAATTGGAGAACACCATAAATCGGCTTTCTTTAAACAATGTCCATTCTCTTCCGTTAGCTAAAAAGTAGGGAAAAAAAAAAAAGGCAACAAAAAAAAGGCTCCAAAGAACACTTCAGGAATTGGGTGCAAAGGCATTTGAAATTTGTAAGAATGAGAACAGCGGACTTACTCCAGAGGTGCAAGGGCAGCTTCGTGGAAGTGAAAACTAGGAGCTCTGCATTGGTCACTACAGCTCTCATGGCAAGATCGTTGCGGATCATTTCGACAACAAGGCTATCAAAAAATTCTTGTTCACTGTACAAACAAGGAAAAGAGTAAGAAATCCAGACTAAAAGGACAAGAATCTTTAAAAATTGAGCGTAAGGCAATTACCTCTTGTTATCGGGAAACATATATATCGCAATACTATGATCACTGGGACCCCAGTTCTCGAAGCCTTTTGGCCACACTTTAAGTCTAGGATGCAATTCAGTGCTAAGCAACAAAGGGAACAACTTTGCCTCCTCGCTCACTTTAGAGCATGCTAAGTTGGACACGTGTGCCACGACTTTCCCAAAATAATTGATCCCTTGTTTGTTGAATTTCAAACTTCCCCTGTAAATGAAAAAATAAAATAACAATAAAAAACTCATAAGTGGGCGTGTGCTGCTAGAGAACCAAGAAATTTAGAAGGAAAGAGAAGTCGATTTTACCTCCAGATTGGATCAATAATTGGCTGGGCATACAGATAAGTATCTTTCCCAAATAGCTCCGGACAATCAAGCTTTGCTGATTGTGGGGCCTTCATGGATTCAGCCTCTTCCTTAGAGTTCTGCATGTCTCCCGAAGTAGCTCTCACATCTATTCCAATATTTTCAGCTTTGTCATAGTTTCCACTGCTCCAAGTTTCGTTTACTTGACTAAGACGTACATTTTTGGTTTTCTCAACTTCTGCCTCCGACGTAAAGACCGTGCCTTTCTCGGCCAACTGTCCTCTTTCCTCATCTTTTTTCGTTTGTGGCTTAAGCCCATTCTTCTTTCTCTTCTTCTTCTCCCTCGTCCACTTTTCATCCTCTTCATTAGATTTCCGCATGTCTCCCGAAGTAGCTCTCACATCTATTCCAATATTTTCAGCTTTGTCATAGTTTCCACTGCTCCGAGTTTCGTTTACTTGACTAAGACGTAAATTTTTGGTTTTCTCAACTTCTGCCTCTGATGTAAAGACCGCGCCCTTCTCAGCCAACTGTCCTCCTTCCTCTTCTTTTTTCATTTGTGGATTAAGCTCATTCTTCTTTCTCTTCTTCTTCTTCTCCCTCGTCCACTTTTCATCCTCTTCATTAGAGTTCCGCATGTCTCCCAAAGTAGCTCTCACATCTATTCCAATATTTTCAGCTTCGTCATAGTTTCCACTAATCTGAGTTTCGTTAACTTGACTAAGGCATACATTTTTGGGTTTCTCAACTTCTGCCTCTGATGTAAAGACCGTGCCCTTCTCAGCCAACTGTCCTCCTTCCTCGTCTTTTTTCATTTGTGGATTAAGCTCATTCTTCTTTCTCTTCTTCTTCTTCTTCTCCCTCGTCCACTTTTCATCCTCTTCATTAGAGTTCCGCATGTCTCCCAAAGTAGCTCTCACATCTATTCCAATATTTTCAGCTTTGTCATAGTTTCCACTAATCTGAGTTTCGTTAACTTGACTAAGGCATACATTTTTGGGTTTCTCAACTTCTGCCTCTGATGTAAAGACCGTGCCCTTCTCGGCCAACTGTCCTCCTTCCTCATCTTTTTCCGTTTGTGGCTTAAGCTCATTCTTCTTTCTCTTCTTCTTGTCCCTTGTCCACTTTTCATTCCCCTTCTTCTTCCCCAATCTTTCTAGAGGAATATTTTTAAAATTTTTTGCACATTGTACCAATTCTGTTATCTCTAAGTCATCCTCTTCACACAAGGGAGAGCAACTTTCGTCATTAGTATCGGGCTTTCCAAGCTTGGGTCGACAATCCTCACAGAACCAAACAACATGTTCGTCGAAACTTTTAGGCAAAATTTCCAGGCAATAGCTGAAAAGCATAAAAGGCTGAGAGTCAAATTTCAAACAGTGAGCATCTTGGACATGAACTGAACTTGGTATAAACATTTAGCATGTTAAAGTACATAAAACTTGAGAAAGATTGCAGCTTGCTATATTAATTTCCACGTGGCCACATTCGACAAAAAATATAGATTAGGTTCATACCATAATAAGTATATCACCGACTGCACTGGAAGCAAGAGGAATGCCGATTTCTTAAAGACTTATGAATTTTCCCATTTCATTTACTAAAGGACTCAAATGACAAGTGGCGTGCCCGAGATTCCTTAGGTAGAAATCCGTATTTGCTATTGACACAATAGAGTTCATGGGAAACCTATGATACATGACATTATGTGTAATATAAAGTCTTGAAAAGTAAGTGATATGCATGATAGACACGGTTAGATAGCGTGTGCAACTCTCACTCCATCATTCCAAAGAAAAAGAACAAAAATTGCCTCTCACTCCAGTCTGAAGTGAACCAGCACCGAAAAGATCTAAAGAAATAGAATCTTGAGAGATTCTTTCTTATTCAAGACTCTAGGCTCAGTTGTTACACATCCAATAGAGCAATGTTAAATGTGATACTTCCACCAGAAATACCTCACAAAGTAAATCAGTGAATCAAGCGGAGACCCTTGGGGGAACAATTACTAGGTCAGATGCCCCAACAGACTCATACACTACAACTCCATAATTTGCATCACAACTTGAATGGGCAACCACAGTCAAAAAATACTGCCAATTCAATGTGCAAAAGGAATACTGTGAGTTTTAGTATCTGAAAGGCTTGCAAATCACCATGATTTCCTCAATTAGCTAGAGCAAGATTCAGGAAAAACTAATACCTCATATAAATCTTAACAGATGCACATTCACGTGCATGCATGCATACGGACGTGCGCATGTATCAGGCAGTGCTGCGCGCGCACCTGTGTGCATGGTTGCCTAGGGTTACGTGATATAATTGGAGAGGAAGTGAGGGAGGGCAAACTTACAGGTGAATAGCACATTTTCGACAGTCACCACAAGAGATCAAAGCAACATCGAAACCCCTATCCCCACACTGTAGGCAGACAGTCACCTGGAAGAACAAAAGGATTGAGAAAACCGTAAACAAGGGAAACCAACTCGTATTTTTCTCTAATATCAGTAAGGTTCACATAAAATTCGGATGGCCAAGCTGAATAGAAGTGCAAGATTTCACTATTTACCAGAACTGAGTCTACAACTTGTTTATAAAGCTCCAAACCACCAAAATTAATCAACTAATTCCGAAATTTAAAAAAGCTACAATATTCACAAATTACATTTAACTACTTCAGGGAACGCGGCCACAACAAAGAGGAACCCGCATTTTGCCCAAATTTTCAAATTCGGCCCAGCTTTAAAAATTACCGGCGCAATACCGCGCCTTTTGATTTCGATTCAGATCCGGCCCGCATGCAACAGCTCATTCGTTAATTTTACCCGACTAACAGTACAAGATAACGTTAACCACCCTCCGCCACCCCCAGCATTTCATTCAATTGAATCAAGTCCTAAGGTGGTCGAAGGTGGCCCGGCATTGAGCCGAAACCAGAATGCGGCACGTCGCAGCGACAAGGTCGGATTTCGGACCGAAAACGACTCGAAATTAGGGCAAAATTCGGAACACATCCAAGATGCACCGTCCGCAACACCAATCGCACTAATCCTAACGGAAAGGAAAAAGACGAAGTCGCGGCTCCAGCGGAAGAAAAACAGCGACAAAACAATGAAGCTTTGCGAGAAATCGGCGGCGAAAAGCCGAGCACAGAGAAGAAGATTGGAAGCTCGGCCAACCCGAGGAGAAAGAAGCGTGAAGGAAGAGAGAGAGAGAGAGAGAGCGCCGCCGGAGATTGCGTACCATTCCATCCGCCGGAGCAGCTCCCGGAGAGAGAGAGAGAGAGAGAGGGGCGGGTCCTCCGCCGCCGTCCTCGCCGCGGGGGCGCCGGGCCGGCCGCCGGGTGAGGGATTCGCCGCCGCGTTCGGTGAAAACCCTCTCCTGTCCGTCCTGTGTTTCCGGCACGAGCGGAAGCAAGAGCACTAGAAGAAAGACACAGAGCGAGCGAGCGAGCGAGCGAATCTGCTCGCTTGAGTCGATTCGGGTAAAATAATTAAAACGTGTGATTAATGAAAAACGTGGGGGTTTGCCGCCGCCGTCTCTTCGGCTTCTTCGGTTTTCGGTTTGTTGGGCCTTTAAGCGAGGCCCAAAACTTCATTAAGATTTGCACCCAATCAAAGCTCATCATTACGGTGATTGATTATTATTTATCGCGATCTCGTCCTTTTACTTTGGCTATTTTACGGGGTCCTGTGTGGAAAAAAAACGCGTGCGAGAAATGGGGGTTGAAGGGTAAAATAGAGAGGAGGAGCTTGAATTTGATCTCGTCCTTTTACTTTGGCTATTTCGTGGGCGGGATTTAATTTCTTGAATGTGAGTATATTAGTTTTTTTTTTTTTTTCGAATGACGTCGTCGAATACGTACCGGGTTAATACCACGAAAAACCCCAAACCTGTATATCCGTGACAAATTTATCCGGAAACTAATTTTTTTACCACGAAAAACCACAAACTGGTACACCTGTGACAAATTTACCCCGAACTATTTTTTTGACCACAAAAAACCCCTCGCTGGTACATTTGTGACAATTTTACCCCGAACTAATTTTTTGACCACCAAAGACCCCAAACTGGTACACCTATGATAATTTCACCCAAACTAATTTTTTTACCACTAAAAACCCCAAACCGGTACATTTGTAACATATTTACCCCCCGTTAATGTCCGTTAAATTGGATTAATATCACGAAAAATCGCAATTTGGTAAACTTGTAAAACCCTAAACTGGTACACCCGTCAACTACCACGTGTCATCAAACTTAGCAATTCGATAGTAAAATTTAACGAAAACTAGCGGAGGGTAAATTTGTCATAAGTGTACTAGTTTTGAATTTTTTGTGGTCAAAAAATTAGTTCGGGCTAAAATTATCATAGGTATATCAGTTAGGGTTTTTGGTGATTAAAAAAATAATTTTTGATAAATTTGTTATAAGTGTACCAATTTGAGGTTTTTCGTGGTATTAACCCAATACGCACCTGAGTTTCTAGCATTTTAAGCCACAACGTTTGTGAGGTGGGAAAAAGGGGCATGATTTTCGATTAGATATAAGATTTCAATAGGAGTTTGTCATAGGTTCTTCAAATCATCTTTTTATTGCCACTCCTTGCATTGACTAAACTTTTTTCCCAGGACGTATTTTTTGCGTTGTGGTACAAAAGTCATTGAAACTTATGAGTTGCGTTGTGAAATCATGCGATCTTGCAATTTCGACCAAAAAAAAATTATAATGATATTAAATTATCAGAAAAATCAATGAGGAACGATAGTGATATTGGAAATTTATGCGATCCGGTTCGAGTGTCGGACCTAATTTATAGGAAGAGCCACCTGCTAAGAAATCCATTATAAATCCGAGAAATGCAAAGTTTACAATTGCCCAATTGCTCAAAGTGTTTGTCACCCTTAATCCTTAACATTATAAATCCGAAAAATGCAAAGTTTACAATTGCCCAATTGCTCAAAGTGTTTGTCACCCTTAAATTGCACCCTATGTAGAACCCACAAGTGTTATCTCACAATCTCTCATAGAAAACTCATTCAAAAAAATTATAAAGAAAAAACGTTCACACTTCTTTTGTTTGCTCTAATATGCAATAATCGTGTAGAATTCTGATTTAATAACTTCTCATGTGACATGCCGACTCAAAATTAGGAATCTATTCAAATTAGGAATCCAAATTCCACGTAGATAGTATTTCAATATGGTATTGCTTGTTCGGACATCAAAGCACAAGTCCTATTTGGGTTTGGAATTTTCACTTGAATTGGATTTTCTTCACGAATTTAGACTCGAGATATACTCTTAGCAAATTGTAAGTGAATGTTAAGTAACATGACCAATAGAGTGAAAGGGATAATGCAACCAAAAATCCCAAACCAATACACCTGGAACACATTTATGTCACTTAATTTTGTGTCACAAAAAAATTAAACGGGTACAACCGTGACAAATCTATCATTAGTTAGCTTCTATCCAATGTTCCAATTAAATTTCCAGCGTGGAAACACACGTTGCAAGCGACTCAGCTAACATGGATCAAGCAATAAGCTTAAATGGCTTTTTAAAACGACGCTGTCTTCAAAAGATACTCGTTCGTGAATGAAGAACCTATGAAGCATCGTAGATTCTCCCTCACCTTATCTCCGATTGATACATAAATTTTCACCTAGGAGACGTCTCATGAAGAATTAGGTATCAAATTTGTCGATAATGATATAATTTGACCCTCAAACAAAAATGTCCAACATTGCATAATCTTGCATTTGCACTATTTATTGCACTTTCCCAATTTTAGAAATTAGGGAATTTTTTGGTTCGGAACATTGACTTGGAGGAAATCGCGAATTTTTGTAAACCGCCCCGTTGTAGGAGCCGTCCCCAATTTTTCTTCTCTCTTTTTTTTCCGACCGCCATCCAAATGGCATTCCTTACGTAGATTATCTTGTCCGACGATGTTTTACCTAGGCAACATGCTCTTATCTCCAACGTGATTGGCTGTAGCTTTCAGTTTGACTATCTGAAGGAAATAATGCAGCAACTTTGCAGACCCGCTGGATAACTCTCGTGCATCGACATGGGCATGGCAATCGTCGTCGTCGTCGTCATCCTGATCGTGTTCAGGACATGGGCATTGAATAAAGAAGAAAAATGAAACAGAAAAGGCAAAACCAAGGAAGCAGAGATGAGGAACGGAAGTGAAAGAGAGCAGGGAATGGGGGCGCTCGGTGGAGTGTGCAGGTGGGCAAACCAGGCGGAAGTGCAGCTGAAGCAAGGACACCTTTACCAGACGTTTGAGGCTGGAAAACTTGTGGGAATGGATATGACAGGGGGATTGGATTGACTTGTGGCTGATTGGAGTTGAAATGAGGTGACAGTTTGTTGAAAAAATCGGAGGAAGAACTGCTGGATCGAAAGGAAGAAATGGAAGCAGAGCGACGAACGGAGGTCTCTCTCTTCCATCGCCACTTCAAGCCAACAAAAAATCCACGGGGTTCTCTCTTCAAGGATCGGGATTCGAAGCTGCTCTCACAAAGGAAGGTGTTTGATGACATGGTACGACGAGGTGTTCGTTTGAGCGCTTTGGGATTGGGCGTGCTCTGGTGGAAGTTTGTGTTCATGGTGTTTTTCGAGCTTCAAGGGTATCGGAGGCTCTCTGGGCAACGGATTCCCTCTCTGATTCAGAGTCGCTTCGCCAGACAGACAATATGTTCACAAAGGGTTTTGCTCCAGACTTCACCATCATCTCTACCAAGCTGTTCTTTTGAATGTTACATACCCAATCAGACTGGCCGCCATGCACGCACGAACAGAACATTTGGCGAGAGAGAGAGATGATCGTATTCCACTCCATCATCTTGGTCTGTCCATCGCTCCTTCCACACGTAGTGAAGTCAGAAACAGAGAGATAGGAATGGAGAGGAGAGCCTCTGAGAGTCCATGCACGTAGGCATTCACTGTTGATAGCGTCCATCTTATCGGCTGTTCTTCTCCCAGAATCCAGTGTTGCTAATTTGCTATCCCTGTTTCTCGCATTCAAAGCGCTCGCTTTCGTCTTTTAGACCAGACCATCTTCAAATCGTCAGAAGCCACCACAAACCGCATCGAAAGGAAGACGTGAAAGCTAAGTGTTCTGTCTTGGCAATACATTATCTGTCCGATTTTTGTTTGCGGGCTTTCATTTCGTTCGACAATGCCTAGGTCGCAAGCTGATGAGGGTGAAGCTGTCGATGGACTGCAAGCTGCCGCAGGAACCCAATCCTACCTTCACCACGAATGACCTTAACACCAAATCAATAGCAGGACCGGAGTCCGCCTTTTCCGAGGTATCAAGAGGACGGTCTCTCCATGTTTAAGATTCTCGCCCGGTTTGAACTCAATGTTTGATAAGATGTTCATTAGGACTTTTGCTGATTCGGAGTCAGCGAACATGTTGTAGTAATTAGGGAATTTCACTTAGTAAATGACCTCATTTGTGGAGATGACTAACAAGCGAAGTGTAGATGACATCCATAGCTTCAATTTGACAGGTTGTGGGTTAAATTTGGCCATCGTTTACTCTAATTCCCAAGCTCAATTCATTTTCTTCAAATCTAACTACCCCGCAACAATGTTCTTTAAAGAGCCACCTATGCCATATATCCACGTCAGTCGAGTCAACTTGCCACTATCAACTTAATGGAGATATTAGACTGAAACTGATGAAGGTTACATTTGTCATAGATATACAAATTTAAAATTTTTTGCGACACGGAAATTTTAGTATGGGATAAACATATCTCAAACGTACCGATTTGGAATTTTTGTTAACATGAAAATTAGTTGGGATAAATGTGTTATGTATGTACTAATTTGAAACCTTTGGTGGTATTATCTCTATAATGAATGGTCGGTTTGTTAGGTTTGCCAATGCAAAGGAAGATGAATGGCATCCTGTTCTTTTTTTTCTTTTTTTTGATTTATAAAAGTCGAAGTCTAGAATTGGGAAAAAGACCTTGCACAGAGCAGGAAAGAAGCTTTTCTAATCTTATGAGCTTTTCTCTGCAAAGGCAGATGAATGGTAAAACGCCAAAATGGCTAATCATTAGGTTTTTGCCATTTATCATCTCTGCTCGTGACCGATCAGTCCTACTTCATCGGAAGAAGCTTTTCTATTCTTATTTCACCTGTTAGTATAAAGAGAAAATCTCTCATATAAGTAACGGATGAACACTGCAATGGGGAATCATATCATGGATCATGGATAGGCATGGAAATTGGGAATCAGTTAGTAGCTCTAATGCATGACAAGATGCATACAAATATTACTCATAACTCTAATGCACTAAGTAAAGCACGAATTCTTTAATATATATTAGGGCTTGAAGAGTTAACACTACTGTCTTTTAAGCTTACGTCAAAAGAAGGGAACAACTTTGCCTCCTCAATTCACTTTAGAGCATGCTAAGTTGGACATAAGCACCGCGGCTCTCCCAATGTAATTGACCCCTGTTTGCTGAATTTCAATTCCCTGTAAATGAAAAAAAAACTTAGATGGCAATATAAAAAAAAATATCTGATATAATCATAAGGATGTGTATTCCCGACGTTGTAGGAGCTCCAGAAACATCACTTTGTGAACTTAGAAGAGAGAGTAAGAAATATACCAGTAGTGCAAGGCATTTGAATGGTGGGAACTGCAGCAGGCGTTCCTCCGGTTATATTGGGCCCCCCAAGTGGGGCACTATTTGCTGACCCGGCATCCAATAACCACGAAGCATCGGACACCCAAGCATCGGATACCCATGATTACCAGGAGGTCGATGACCTGACCACCCAAATGAGCAAAAGTCACTGCTATATGTGGATGGTGCCCGATACCTTTGTCGGTAATGCTGGGCCATGTAAGAATTATAGGCACCCTGCAATTCAGAAGCACAGTATATAAACTCGTGTCAGTGAGCTCCATATGGGTTACTAAACACTTTATGCTACAACTTCTAAGGGCCCGTTTGGCTCGACTTTGGGGGAATGCAAATACCTTTGGGCTAAAGGAGTTTTTCAAAATGCAAGTAGCGTTTGGTAAGTGTTTTTTAAAATCAACTTGGGCTAAAGGACTTTTGCTATTTTTTTTTTTTTTAAAAAAAAAGCTCCGGTGGAGCTACACCGCCGGCCACCGCCTCCGGCCAGATCTGGTCGCCGGCCAACCGCCGACAGCCAGATCTGGTCGCCGGCGACCACCGCCTGGGGTCGCCGGACCTCGGGCGGTCGCCTGGGCCGCATCACCTGGGTCGCGCGACCCAGGCGACCGCCCGAGGTCCAGCGACCCCAGGCGGCGGTCGCCGGGGTCGCGCGACCCCCGGGCGGTGGTTGCCGGAGTCGGGCTAGCCCTCAGGCGGCGGCCGCCGGCCGCCGGACCTCGGTTTAGGGAAGATGAACAGTGTCGATGAATAGTGCAAGTTGCATTCCGAAAATGCAACTTCCCAAAGCACCTTCAGAGGTGCATTGGCCAAAGGTCCCTTGGGGAGCATTCCAAATGCAATTGCATTTCCCCAAAGTGAGTAAAAAAAATTGCCAAACGCCATTTGCATTTGGCCAAGAGACTTTAGAGGCCAAATGAGCATTGGGAATGCTGAACCAAACGGGGCCTAAGAAGAGTTCAAATTTCGACAAGAAAGACATCTAGGATTAACCTGTGGATACACAAAGTTAGGCTCATATGTAGGGTACCTGCAGTAAAGAAAGTAAATGAATCACTTCATAAGATACAGACACATCAAGGTATTACATCAACAGGAATCTTTTCCTGTCAAATCATTTGTTGAAGATGGCACCGATTTGACCAGTTAAATCAATATGCCGTCCTTCATATATGGGAGATGAAATGTCACAAACTTTGGTCGTGCAATATTCTTTTGGGTAAACAAAAAGGAAGATGCTCCTCTTACTCAACCATATCTGATTAACCATATCTGACTTTCCATTTTGCATGTGATCAACATATTTACTCTCTGATTTTGGAAGTTCTAAATTGTATTCTAATTGCTACATCTCTTGAAATCCAGATTGCGCAGCAGCACAAGCATCCAATTCTAACTGGGACTAATAACTGTAAGTGCCTTGCAGGAAATTACATGACTTTGGACTTACTCATAAGGAGGATAGGCATATCCTGGCTGATAATCATATGGACTTGAATGGTGGTAGACAGGGCTCCTGACGTAACTCCCCCTGGGAGCCTGAACACTTCCAATCAGAGGTGTTACAGGTCTTAATTGCCCTAGGACAACAAAACAAGCATCCATTAGATCAAGAAACATAAACTCAAAACTCCAAAAAGTGACTGCTGCATAGCTCAAATGAAACACCAGTACATTGTAACACTCATGATTGATGAATATGCCAAAGGAGGACCCCTGCTCCCTGTACTTATTTTGAGAGCCACATGATGTGGCTTACAATCCGAGAAATTCATTTGGTTGTCCACATACAAGACACCAAGATTACAAATATCATTGAATTTCACAATTTACTCGGCAGATATTTAACGAACTTTGAGGGCACATACTATAATTTTTTCACCCATTGCACCCTAAATGCAGATTTCAGCATACTTCAATTATGGACCAATGTCTGCAGAAACTTATATCGCACCATTACAATTTTGAACAGGCCAACGACCGGTGCATGGACCACTGGTTTAAACACCCATTTTCATCACATCAATGAATAAATCAATTTTAGTAAAAGTTCTTGGTAAAGTTAGCTTGCTCTTTACTTATTACCATTGATACCCTAACAACACGAAAAGGTTCTTGCTGGGATACAACACTCCAACAGCAACTAAAAGGAAACTAACTTCCATCATCCCATGTCAAACTAGATCAAGTGCCACATGGCACTGTCAGTGGAGCATGCAATGTTCACAATAAGGTAGTACTGTGGATCAAAACAGAAAGTACCATAAGGAAGAGGTGGCCGAGGCCGGCCGAGAGAAGCCAAATTGCAATAAGCCCTTCTGCCATCAATAACTGGACTGGGACTTTCACAAGCTCTTCTCGCAGATTCGCGATAGTGGAATGTCACCTGACCTCCATATAAATCCAATCCACAAATAAAAACACCATGGCTACAAATCCATCACCATCAAATTGAAGCAGGAAAAACTGAACACACACTGAGAAGGAATAATTAAAACCAACATCTCCAAATAACAACAGCTAAACAGTCACAGTTACAGAACAGAACATCAATACTTACATATCCATAGCCTTTGGATCGGCTAGTGTTCTTGTCAGTCACAATAAAAGCCTCAAGAATGTTCCCAAACTGCTCAAAGTAGCGCATCAAAGTGTCACTCTGAGTCTCTAACGCCAATCCTCCCACGAACAGCTTCGTATAAGTTGTGTACCCAGAACCAGTGAAAAGAGAACTACGCAAATGAGTGGGGTGTTTGCTGCTAAAGATTCAAGAAACTTAGATTTTAGAAGAAAGAGCAGTCAAATTTACCTCCTGATTGAATCAATAATTGGCCGTGCATGCACATAAGTATCTTTCCCAAATAGCTTTGGAAAATCACGCTTTGGTAATTGTGGAGCCTTCATGGATACGGCCTCTTCAAAGAGTTCCGTGGGTCTGCTGAAATAGCTCTCAAACTGAGTCCGATATTACCAGCTTTGTCATAGTTTCCGCTGCACCGAGTTTCACAAACTTGACTAAGTGGTATGTCTTCGGTTTTTTCGACTTCTGCCCCTGAAGTAAAGACCGTGCCCTTCTCGCCCAACTGTCCTCCTTCCTTTACAGCTTCGTTGTAGTTTCCGCTGCACCGAGTTTCACAAACTTGAATAAGAGGTACATCTTTGGTTTTTTCAACTTTTGCTCCTGAAGTAAAGACCGTGCCCTTCTCGCCCAACTGTCCTCCTTCCTCATATTTTTCCCTTTGGTCCTTGAGCTTATTCTTCTTTCTCTTCTTCTTATTCTTCTTCGTTCCCAATCTTTCCGTGCCCTTATCACCTAACTGTTCTCCTTCCTCATCTTTTTCCCTTTGGGGCTTGAGCTCATTCTTCTCTCTCTTCTTCCTCTTCCTCTTCCTCTTCTTATTCTTCTTCTTCCCCAATCTTTCCAGATGAATATACTCTTTCGAATTTTTTGTACATTGGACCGATTCTGGAATCTTTAAGTCTGGCAAGTCATCCACTTCATACAGGGGAGAGCAACTTTCCTTATTGGTATCAGGCTTTCCACTCTTGGATTGACAATCATCGCAGAACCAATCAACATCTTCATCAAAAGTTTTAGGCAAGGTTTCTAGGCAATAGCTGAAAGGCATGAAAGGAAGACAGTCAAATTTCAAATAGTGAGCATCTTTTGCATGAACCAAACTTGCATAAATAGGGCAAATATTTAGCACGTTAAAGTAATAGACTAGACGGATTGCAGCTTGCTATTTTAATATTTACATGGCCACATTCGACAAAAAATATAGAATTAGGTCCAAAACTCAATAAGTATATGACCAGCTGCACTAGAACTAACAGGTAAGGAACACTGATTTCCTAAAGACTATAAAATTTCCCAATTTCATTTGCTAAAGGACTCAAATGACAAGTGGCATGCCTGGATTCCTTAGCTAGATAAACGTAGTTGCCATTTGCTATTGACATTACAGAGTTCATGGGGAAGCCTATGATACTTGGCATGATGTGTAATATGAAGTCTTGATATTATGTATTATGCATGAATGATACGGTTAGATAGAACTCATGTGCATTTGTAGCTTTACAGTGTTAACATCTTTCCCTCTCACTCCATCATTCAAAATAAGGAAAATCTTTCCCTCTCACTACAGTCTGAAGTGAAACCAGCACCGTAAAGATCTAAAGAAATAGAATCTTGAGGGATTCTTTCTGATTCCAGTTTCTAAATCTTGAGGGTTCAACTGTTATATATCCAATAGAGCAACGCTAAATGTGCAACTTCCACCAGAAATATCTCACAAAGCTAATCAATGAATCAATTGGAGATCCCTGAGTGAACAATTACTAGGTTTGATGCCCCAACAGACTCATAATTTGCATCATAATTCTAATGGTCGACACAGTCAAAGAAAGCTCAAATCTCGGGTACAAAAGGCATACTGTGATTTTAAGAATTTAAAAGGCTTGTAAATCACCATGATTAACTCAACTAGCTGGAGCAAGATTGCAGAAGAACTAATACCTACATAAAAATCTGCACACATGTGCATTCACGCGCATGCATCCATACAGGTGCACACGTGTATTGGGTAGTACTGTAAGCGCACCTGCATGCGCGGTTGTCGAGAATTACGTTGTATAGTTGGAGAGGAAGTGAGGGCGAACTTACCGGTGAATAGCATAACTTTTACAGACCTCACAATAGATCAAAGCAACATCAAAGCCACGGTCCCCACATTGTAGGCAAACAGTTGCCTGCAGAAACACAAGGATTAAGCATACCGAAAACAAGGTAAACAAACTGGCATTTTTATCTAGTATAGGTAAGGTTCACATAAAAAACCGAATGGCCTAGCTGAATAGAAGTGCGAGAATTCTCTATTTAACAAAACCGAGTCTACAACTTGATTATAAAGCTCCAAATTACCAAAATTGAGCAACTAATTTCGAAATTAAAATTGTTACCTACTTAAAAACTTCATATGCATAAATTATTTTTGACTACTTCGGCCAAAAAGAACACGTATTTTGCCCGAATTTTCAATTTCAGCCCAGCTTTAAAACTCATCAGCACATTACCGCGCCTTTTGATTTCGCTTCAGTTCTGGCCCGCGTCCAACAATAAAAAAGTTAAACTTTACATGACTAAAATTACACGATAACCCTTACCAAAAAAAAAAAATTACACGATAACTATAACTATCCTCCGCAACCGGGCCTTTCACTGATGGAATCGAGTGCTGAAGCGGTTCAAAGTGACCCGGCATCGAGCAGAACTTAGAATGAGGCATGCCGCACCGACATGCTCGAAAGTTTCGGGCAAAATACAACTCAAAACTACGGTAATCTTCGGACCTTATTTGAGTTCTTTGGACTGATCACACTAATTCTAACAACTAAAACATACCGTCCGTAACACACTGATCACACTAATTCTAACAACAGGGAAAACAAGATCATGGTTCTTGTGAAAACCAGCGATGAAACAACGAACCTTTACGAGAAATTAGCGGCAAAAAACCAAGTACTGACAAAGCAAAAGAGGAAGCTAAAGATTGGAGCTTGGCCGACCCAAGGAGAAAGAAGCAAGAAGAGAGACCGCCGGAACTTGCGTACCATTCCTTCCGCCGGAGTTGCTCCCGCAAAGGCGGGTCCTCCGTCCTCGCCGCGCCGGCGGAGGTAGCCGTCGCGTTCGAGTCTGTGTCTCGTCGGAGGCAGGGCGCGGTAAGAGAAGACGCTTCTCTGGTTCTGTTTTTCACGAACAGTAGAACGAGAGAATTCGGTCTATTTAATTTGAATCGGGGAAAATATTAAATAAGGAAACTTTTTTTTTAATCACAATATAAGGATATGAAGTGAGTAATTTCTTTTTATATTCGACCAAAAACAAAGTGAGTAATTTTTTCAAAAGAAGTTTTCCTGAAGAGTTGAAATTACTTTTAAATAAGGCCGCAGCTAACCGGTCGGCTTCTACCAAAAAAAAAAACCGATCAGCCAAATCTTCGCCGGCCAGCTCATTCCGAACGATAAAATAGGCATATTTATCCAATTAAAAAGCAAATTGAATTCCGATTGAAATTAGGGCTCTAGGCAATTCTTTCTTTCAAAAAGAGATGCAATACAGAGTAACATTATAAAAATTAAAATAAAAAAATTTCCATTTTAAACGCCTTCCATAAATTGAGCATTTATGTGCAATGAAGAAGTAGAGATAAGTTTTGCTGCTGCTGCTCCCAATTCTGAGGACGATTCAACTTGAAATATAAACTTTACCATTGAAAGGCATCAAGGAAATTGAAATCAAAGTGGGAAAAATTAGAAGGAAAAAAAAGAGAAGAAGAAATAGAAATGGATTTAATTAATGCCTTCAAAATACAGGTTATTTGAGTAGACCTAAGTTATGTACAAGTGGGTTTCTACATGATTTACTGACATGGGTTAAATAGGTTGATTTGGGTTGTATTAATTTTCAATCACTCAAATATATGACCTGATCCAATCACCAATTTGACACCTCTACTCACAACTAGAGGTGGCAATATGAATCTCAAACTCATTTTTAGATTCTTGTTCAGTTTTTTTTTTCTTTTTGTCAGATGATTCGTGTTTAGTTGGCCGGGTGAAATATGGGTTGCCTAAATTTTTAAAACAGGATATAAAAAGTCAAGAAAAGTAAACCCATGGATTTGAAATAGACTTATTTTTCAACCCAAAATCAACTCGACTGAATTTGGCCCAGTTCAGAACTTTGTGGGGGGAATTGCATAGCAAAATTGACCAGAGTGAGAGTGGAACCAAGATTGCTCGGAAGTTTCCCACGTCAACTCATAAGCAGTATGATAATACGAAAGGATAACATTGCTAAAAATCTCAAATCGATGAATCTGAAACACATTTACTCAAACTACTTTTCATATAACAAAAAATTCCAAACCGGTAAATTTATGACAAATTTAACCTCCGTTAACTTTCGTCCAGTATCCTCGTTAAATTGTTGATGTTGAAACAAATGTTGCAAGTGACTCGTCTAACGTGAATCCGATGTGGAAATTCAATTTAAACATCTCTTGAAACAAAGTCATCTTCATACTTGTCCGATGGATCTCCATCTTAACAGGAAGAGAAGATCCTGGAAAGAGTCACGAAACTTCGACCATCCGAGGGCGAACATTCATATTGTTGGCAATGTATCCTTTTCACAAGCTCTGCCATAGAAAATGCGAAGTCTTACAGATATTTATTCTTGAGAAGTATCTATGAATCACAGCAACTGCCATTGACACATTTACCGACTTTTTAAAACTCCCTTACTTGCTTTTGTGACACATTTACCCCAATGTATTTAGTCCATGGGCATTTTCGTCTTTTTGCTTTTTCTTTTTTTCTTTTTTTTTTTCCCTTTCCGTGGCGAGGGGGCCTCGCCGGATCCGCGAGGCGGCCCTCGCTGGGCGAGCGAGGCGGCCCTCGCCCGACTCAGCGAGGTCGACCCTCGCCGCGTCGCGCGAGGGTCGACCTCGCTGAGTCAGGGCGAGGCCGCCCGCTCGCCCAGCGAGGCGACCCTCGCCACAGTCGGCGAGGTCGACCCTCGCCGGCGTCGAGCGAGGCCGCCCGGGCGAGGGTCGACCTCGCTGAGTCGGGCGAGGGCCGCCCTCGCTCGCCCGGGCGAGGGCGACCCTGCCGCGTCGGCGAGGTCGACCTCGCTGGGCGAGCGAGGGCGGCCTCGCCCGATCCGGCGAGGTCGACCTCTCGCCGGCGTCGGCGAGCCGCCCTCGCCGCGCGTCGGCGAGGGCCGCCTCGCTCGGCCGGCGAGGCCCCTGGCCCGGATCCGGCGATGGGCGCCCTCGCCCGACGCCGGCGAGGCCCCCTCGCGGAAAGGAAAAAAAAAAGAAAAACAAAAAAGACGAAAATGCCCATGGACTAAAAATATTGGGGTAAATGTGTCACAAAAGCAAAGTTCGGGTTTTTGGTGTCACAAAAAAAGTTTTGGGTAAATGTGTCACAAATGGCAAAGTTTGGGGTTTTTGGTGATTTTTTCCTTCTTGAGAAGTATCTATGAAGCCTCGCAGATTCTCCCTCACCTTATTTCCATCAAGTTAGGTGTACAAAACGGATCGTCTACTAGATCGGACGCCGGGCTTGGTCCGATTCCTAGCTCCTGGGGGCAGACATGAAAATGCATTCGGAGCGTAAATCCTACTCCAAAATGCATTCCGGAATAAAAATGCGTTTGTTAAAAAATTTCCGGAGTAATTTTTGCATTATAAAATAAAAACGCGTTCGGTAAAAATGCGTTCTGTTTTTGGCTCTAGAATCACTTTTTGATTCCAGAATGCACTTTGGCCCAAAAAAACAGAAGCTATTTTTTCTAGCTTCTCTTTTTCAGAATGAGATTTCCTTCTTTTCTCTCTTCTTCATGCCCTTCCCAACACATTCTAAGATCTCACCAAATTTCTTCTCCGTCTCTCTGCTAGGTTGAGCTCTTGCGCTTCACCGAGCGAGCGCCCGTTCTCCATGGACGCCTTTGCCTGCGCCTCCGCTACAGAGACCAGATCTGCCACAGTTCTCTCTCCCCCTTCTCTGTCTCTCTGCTAGGGCGAGAAGGACTCCCGCGCTGCGCCCAGCCTCCGCCCTTCTAAGATCTCAGCAAATGTCGTGTTCTTCTCCGTCTCTCTGCTAGGTCGAGCTCCTGCGCTCCGCCCGACGAGCGCCTGTGCTCCGTGGACGCCTCTGCCTGCACCTCCGCTACAGAGACCCGATCTACCACAGTTCTCTCTTCCCCTTCTCTGTCTCTCTACTAGGGTGAGAAGGACTCCCGCGCTGTGCCCAGCCTTCGCCCGCGCTCCACCCGCGCCCCCGCCCCGCCTACGCCCATGCCTCCGACTTTGATTTTGAGGGGAAGATCTTCTTTTGGGGAGCGGTCATTTTGTTTAGCGCACAGAAGAAAGAAAAAAGGAGAAAGAGCGAGAGAGAGTAGAGGAGCGATTTCAAAGAAGTCAAAGGTGATCATCGCTAATCTCATTCGAACCACCGTCGCTAGTCGCCGATTTGTAGTTTTGCGGCCATCAGATTCAGGTAAGCCGCCCTATTTTCTGCCTTATTTTACCTGCTTCACTGAAGCTTAGGATGTCGAGTTCCATCCGCTGTTTATATTGTGAATCTAAGATCGACCTGTGAATGATTGCGATGATTTATAAGTCAATATACATTGTTTAAGGCAAGAACTGCATTAAATGTGAAACTGAAGCTTGTATTTGAAACGTACACTATCCGTTCGATGAATCGCAGAGAGAAATAACGAATCTATTTTTTGGTGGAATTATGTTCTACCCCATTAGCCTCTTTTTTCTTCCTCTTTAACATACCTATATGATGCTTTTAGTTGTTCTTTTGATGAGAACAAACTATCAAAGACTTGCTTGGAAATTATCCTTGGCTGGCGTATGTGGGCCACGAACAATACATTTTGCCTTGGCTCCATACTCTAGCGTGGAAATTGTCTTGTGTATCTCCTTTGGGTCAGGGCTTGCACATAGTATCATAAGAATCTTCGATTTTTAACACCGTTTAAAGGCGAACGGTATCATATACTAGAATTTCGACGAAGTGGGGGACCAACAACAGCAAATGAATTGTTCAACCACAGACATTCTTCATTAAGGAATATCATTGAGAGATCCTTTGCGGCTTTGAAGAATCATTTTTTTTTGTTTTGAGACAGATGCCTCCATTTAAATTTGAAAAACAACCACATAATGTAATTGCATGCTGTACGATCCATAACTACATCATTGAGCAAGACAGGATGGATAAGCAATTGTCCATATATGGAGATCCGGATTATGTGTGTGAACCTATTGAACAGGGTACAGACGATGTAATAACGACCAAAGAGAGAACCGAGATGAACATTATCAGGAAACGTATTGCTAATAAAATAGCTAGGGATAATCATATGCCGAAGATTCCATGAAATCCGGTTTTCCACTATTGTATTGTACTTCCATTATTATTATTCGAGGATTATTTGCTTTTTTTGCCTTTTGTAATGTAATGTTGTATTGTAGGATTCGTATTATGTGTAATTGAGGATTTGGTACCAGGTCTTCTTGTAATGACATGTTATTTTGGAATTTCTGTTCTTTCTATTTGAGGATTTCAAAAAATGTATTAGATTTTGCCTCGAATATCATGCCTTGTAGGTTAAGATAAATAATATTTTGCAATTGAGTTCGGCCTATCTTTGTTGCGGAAATAGAATTGACGCACCGTTATCAAATGTATTTCTCATCCAGTAGCAAAAATTTCCTCTTGTTTTATTAAACAGATTTATGTTCCATAAATCAATTTCTGGAACAGAATTAGTCATGTTTATCAAACAGATTTCTCTCTAGAAATCAATTTCTGGCAAGAATTTGATTTCTGGAGCAAAATGATTATCATTCGCGTTCTAAAAGCAGAATCGGTGTCCGAGCAGTTCGGTTCCCGATTCTAAGGGGGAACCGGACCGGACCGGACCGACTATGTATATATATATTTTAATTTTTTTCTTCAAAAAAATTAGTAAAATGTGAACTAAACCTTAAGTGAACTTCATTGATGAAAATTAATAAAATGTGAACTAAATCCTAAGTGTTTGACCCAAAAAAAAAAAACTAACTCCTACGTGACTAGTTCCATTGGACCAAACCGGACCGGTCCAGTCTGCGGTTCCCAATTTTGGGAACAGGATTGGACCGAAAAACTGATCACCCCTACATCGCGCACCCTCCTGATGGCTGCGGACAACAACTCCTCTCTATTCTTGCTATCTCCAGCAACTTCCCTTCCATACAATAGCTCCATCGCGGTGTGGAAATATGCTAAAATCTATAATATTGCCTAAAATTTTGGTGATTTGGGAGTGAGAGAAGTAGATTCAATTTCCCTGTAATTCCCATCTCATTTCATTTCATTCAAATCTGGCTGGCTCACAACATCATTTTAAAAGTTATTTATGCTGAATTTCCATGTCAGTAAACATTGGTACACATAAGGCGACATCGAACCACATTGAATATAACAGAATGAATATTTTTCATACAGTTCAGAAACAAAATTGAACATATGCCCAAAGTTCAGTGATCACGTTGAACAAATTAAAAAATCCGGGAACGATATTGTATATTGGACTAAAGTTCAGAGATCACGTTGAACAAAGTTAAAGTTTAAGGACGACATTATACATTGGGCCAAAAATTTATATAGCATCTATGTCATTATCCTAGAAGAATACTATCCCATTTCAAGCCCGCGTTAAGCTTGCATCGGTGGAATGAGCAGAGCTTCTTTTTTGCTACTTGAGCTCGATTCCATTTCAAGCTCGCATTAAGCATTAGTCCGACTATTAACTCAAGTACGAGCTTGGAAGTATTTGGAAGCTATTCAAGTAGTCAGATTTTTCATTCATGTGTTCATAAGTACAAAAAAAATGGATATGTAAAATTTACTAATATCCTATCTCAAATTTAGAAAATAAAAATTTGAATCAAGTAAAGCTCATGCTTACAAGTTAGAGCTCGATCGTCGGGTTTGAGTTATTGAGTTAGCGTCTCACGTAGAGTGTGAATTTTGTTCAACCTCTTTTGCAGCCGCTATACCACAGTGATGGAAATTTGGAACTCATATTCTGTATTTGATATAGAGGTGGCAACATGAATTGTAAGCCTGCCTTTTTAACTCGTTTTCAATGGGTCGGGCGGTACATGAGTTCCTGAATTTGTTATTACATGTCTGAATGGGTTGATAAAATAAAGTCCATTGGATTTGGGCTAACGTGGGTATGCAATATAATTATTCAAAATGTCTTAAACCTATTTTCGGGAAAATTGTTCAAAATGTCTTAGACCTATTCTCTAGTTGCACTAGAGAAATTACTTATTTTAGTTGAAAATATATTTGCTCGTTAACCTAAATTTACTGTTGCGTTGATACTTAATTTTCAAGAAGGATACCGAGAAAATACTTTCTAGTGTTTTATTAGTGTTTCAATCTTTATCTTTCTTTACATTATTTAATATAATTTACTAACATCTTTTATTACGTTGATATACTTTTTTAATTCGATATAAAATTTTATCCAAGTATTCACATGAATAACTTAAAGTGGGTTAAATGATTGGGTACGAGTTTTCACATGTTGGATTAGATATGGATGTAGTTAATAATATGGATTGGGTTGAGTATGGATCACAAAACTTGTATTGCATAGAAATAGGTTCTAGTGTATTTTCTTATGCATGGTTGTTTATCTTATCTTCCTCTGAATTCAGGATTCGCCCTTGATTATTGGCTTCGTGCTTGTATCTTGATTTACAACTCATGACTTCATCCCTTTATAGAGGAATTGAAGCTCACGAACGCCAACGATAAAATTTAATAAATAAGACATAACAACCTACAAATGTCATTGATGGAGAATTAATGAAGAAAACAAAACAGCCCCAAACACGGTTACCATAGGCACAAATTAAACACACAATAAAGTAAAGTAACAGAAGTCTTCAGTAACTTTCATTTTTGAATGCTGCATAGAACATCCAGCACATTTAAATCATAGCTTTCTTGATCTCCTTTTGTCCTCTATCATTTATAAATCTGAGGCGTTGTCAACAAAAATCGGGGGAAGAACAGCATTGGTGCCAAAAGTTGTGTACGGAGCTCATTTTGGTGCCAAAAGTTTCATTTGAATCATTTAAGTGCCAAAAGTTTTGAAAAACGATCACTTAAGTGCCACTTCGCCGGAAATCCGACGTGGCATTTTTTTATTAATTTCTCAAGCTGATGTGGCTCGCCGGGGTTGATGTGGCATTTCTTTTCCTTTTTTTTTTCCTTTTCTTTCTTTTTTCCTTTCTTTTCTTTTTTTTCTTTTCTTTCTTCTTATTTCCGATGGCCGGCGTCCGGCCACCGGCCATGGCCGGCCTCGCCGGGCGTCGCCTTCCTCCGGGCGAGGGCCGGCGAGGCCGCCGTGGCCTCGGGCGAGGGCCGACCTCGCCGGATCTGGCTCGCCTCGCCAGATCCGGCAAGGCCGGCCCTCGCCCGGAGGGAAGGCGACGCCTCGGCGAGGCCGCCGTGGCCTCGAGGAGGGCTTGCCTCGCCGGATCCGGCGAGGCCGGCCCTCACCGAGGCGTCGCCTTCATTCGGGCGAGGCCGCCGTGGCCTCGGCGAGGCAAGCCCCAGCGAGGGCTCGCCTCGCCAGATCCGGCGAGGCCGGCCCTCGCCCGGAGGAAGGCGACGCCCGGCGAGGCCGGCCATGGCCGGTGGCTGGCCTCCGGCCACCGGCCATGGTAGAAGAAAAAGAAAAGAAAAAAGAAAAAAGAAAAAAGAAAAAAGAAAAAAAAATCAGAAAAAAATATTTAAAAAATTGAATTATACACATAGAAATGTCACGTGTCATTAAAATTTAAATATAAAAGCCACGTATTAAATTTGATCGGAATTTCTCGCCGTTGGCACTTAAGTAATCGTTTTTTCTCCGATTTAGCACTTAAGTGATCGCCGGCGTAAACTTTTGGCACTTAAGTGATCCAAATGAAACTTTTTGCACCAAAATGAGCTCCGTACACAACTTTTGGCACCAATGCTGTTCTTCCCCCACAAAAATCAATTTTACTGTTATTTCAACACTAATATCGTGGTGAACATTCACATACCCACATTCTCATTTAATATATGCCTTTAATGGTTGATACAAGCAAATCTCTGCTTACCCAAAAAAACAAAAACAAATGTTGACTTAATAATACCAGGCAATAGGCCATCAAGGATGTAAATCAAGAACCTGCGATAATATCAATCGATCAAATCTCGAAATCAATGAATTTCCCATCAAGAAAATTCTGGGATTCCCCTTCTCGATCCTCCAAATTAGGTTAGCTGCCTATAAAAACTCCCAGCAAGGTCAGGCTTATTGCATAACAAGGGCTCGCTAGTAATCACCACAAGTTTGGCTTTAGTAGAGAAGAAAGAAAGCAGATGGCAAAATCGTCGACCTCATTTGCTTTGCCTTTTCTGTTTTTGCTAATTTCAGGTGGTCCTCATGTCATATCACCATTGTTTGCATGAACAATATATTGCATTTGAATGACTTTAGAGTTGCATTGCGATACATGATCGATAGCGGATACTAGAAAGTTAAGAGGGGAGGATAACTTGTTTTATTCCATCCCTCGTGATTACTTTGGAGTACACATTAAGATGTTATATTCATCATCGTTGGAGTTCGAAATGCTTCCCTCTATAATGGAAAATCAACCATGCTTGCGCCACGTGTCATGATGCTCGTTTTGCAGGGGCATCGATCATGCTGAGGGTGGAGGCTTGCTCGATTGCGGTGGTAGGCGGCGGCTGTCCCGACCACGAGAAATGCCGGGAAACGTGCATCCCGTGCTGGAGAGGGGTAGGTCAGATCGCGTCCTATTGCCGACCCGCGGGCGGAGGGATACCCTACGATCAATGCATCTGTGACTTCAAGAATGGTGCACCTTGCCCTCCGTCGGGTCTTCCCAAATGTCCACCTTCGGGTCTTTATCAGATATCCCATTGAATCGATGCGTGTAAAGTAGTCTCGTAGCTAATCTCAATAGACTGAATAATTGGGGCTGGAAGTCGAGTTATGTGGCCAATGTTGTTGGACGAATCAATGGAGCCTCTTTGCTACTTTCTCAATTTTCTACGGTAATTGTTTCCAATTTTTGAACCTGAGCATATCGTTAAAAGGCTCAAGGAGAGATAGGGGAAGAAACTCCCCGATATGATGGAGGGATCTCCATGTAAGTTCTCTCCATATTCCTTCTATGTTGGAAAGAAAAACAATGAAAGGGAACTTAGGGGCTTGTGAGTGGAGAAGGTAGACTCCACGTTAGTTTCGACTGGCTACCACTAGTAGGCAGATATAATAGCATCCCGTGCCTGGGGTGCCACAGAGGAGCTTCAACTCCTACTTAACTGGCCTGAGCTTCGCACAATGTCTTGTAACCGACTTGCCAGCTGAGTACCCCTGGTTGCAAGACGCTGTGCAATTTGAGGGCCAATCTCAAATTCATAAAGCAAATCGTTTCAACCTCAAACCTTTACCCATAAATTTTAGAACAAAGGCCGTTGTCAAGATGATCTTTCACCGCTCATTATTGGAAAGAGGATAAATTCCATGACTTGAAGCTAGTGGAGATAATTACGAGACAATTCTTTAAAGGGAAAAGTGCCAAAAAAGTCTTAAACCATTTGCATTTGTGCCAATTTAGTCCTAAACCTTTTTTTGGTGCCAATTCAGTCCTAAACCTTTTGTATTTGTGTCAATTTAGTCCTAAATCTTTTTTTGGTGCCAATTCAATCCTAAACCTTTTTGTCTTTGTGCCAATTCAGTCTTTCCGGTCAATTTTGGCCGAATTTTGCTGATGTGGAAGCTGGCCGGTCGACGGCCGATCACCGACACTAACGTGAACAACTTTTAATATTTTTTAAATATTTTTTTGAATTTTTATTTATTTATTTATTTTTCTTTTTTTTCCTCTCCCCCCCTCCTTCCTCCAGCCTGTCGCCAGGCATGACCTCGCCGGCCACTGGCGAGGCTCGCCCTCGCCAGCGACGTCGAAGGCGAGTCTCGCCATGGCTGGGTGAGGCTGGACCTCGCCAGATCTGGCGAGGTCGTGCCTCGCCCAGCCGCTGGCGAGGTTGCGCCAGTAGCCGGCGAGGACCTCGCAGGCCTCTGGCCTCTAGCCGATCCGGTGACCGGCTGGAGGAAGGAGAGGGGAGGGGAAAAAAAAGAAAAAAAGAAAATAAATAAATAAAAATTCAAAAAAAATATTAAAATATTATTAAAAGTTGTCCACGTCAACGCCGGTGATCGACTGTCGGCGTCCACGTCAGTAAAATCCGGTCAAAATTGGCCGGAAGGACTGAATTGGCATAAAGACAAAAAGGTTTAGGACTGAATTGGCACCAATATAAAATGTTTAAGACTAAATTGGCACCAAAAAAAGGTTTAGGACTGAATTGATACCAAAAACAGATTTAAGACTAAATTGGCACAAATGCAAAAGGTTTAGGACTTTTTTGGCACTTTTCCCATTCTTTAAACATCCCTAATTTCCTAATATTGACTTTGAATCTTTCCCGTTTTACCAACAAATCCTTGTATATATGAAAAACGTGACTTTAAAAATGTAGCTTTAGCTTAGAAGAACTCCCCCCTTTACTCTTCACTTAATACTTATAGCGTAAACCCCGATCCATCCTTGCGAAGAAACGTTATGTTGCAGACTTGAACAGTAAGTGAAGAAGTTCATGCAAAAGAAACAAAAATTTGTAACGTTATTTGCGATACTGAGTTAGATAAGAGTTTGCGAATACGATGACTTTAACAGTTAAAGTTTGATAATTGCACAATCACCCGATGTCCAGATAGATAATAAGATGAAAATCCTACATGTGGGGGAAAGACAAAAGTCATCATTCAAATTCGGACAAAACCTGTTGGATCGATGACACTGTACTCTCACGGCACACCGTCACATTAGTGATTTATGGCGATAATTGGCAGAATGACTATATTGAATTTCGTGCAGAGGGTTAGGACTAAATTGATAAAATTTGAAGTTTTAGAACTTAATTGGCATCCGAATAATAAGTTTAGGACCAATCGGATGATTTTCCCCAATTTTCATTGGTTCTATAAGACTAGTAAAATATAAATTGAGTAAAAGATCAACTGCTCTCACATGTGTCATCGCTTTATCCGCACCCTAGGCTCCGTTTATTTCACGGAAAATGAATGATTAGGAAAATATCTTCTTAAAAATAATCGTTTGCACCACTTGTGAAATGAATAAACAAAAAATATTTTCAACATCTACAAAAATATATATATTGATAACGATAATATGTTTAATTAACTTATTATTTTAAGCAATACAAGCGATATTTTTAAAAGTTATTTTCTAAATCATTTATTTTTTGCAAAATAAATGGAGATCTAGTTTTGTTTGCTGACATATGTCCACCCAAGCGCCCCAAGTCACCTTCACACAAACTCAATGGATCATATTGTTAAAATAAGGGTGCAAGGAAGAACTTTGTGCCAATTGGTTCATGGACACTTGGATTTGAGTTAAGTGTTGCTAAGTCGTCAAACAGGTGGATCGTGTCGGATTTGATTGAGTTGAAAATGTTCCAATTCAAATTGACCCATTTAACCTATTTATATGCAATATAAATTTAGTAACCTGACCCGACCCAGCCTGCATCTGAGCCGTGCCTGATTCAATCCATATTAATAAAACACATTCGTATTTAATCCATCCTATTAAAACTTGTATCCACCTATTTAACCCACCATAAACTCTTCATGTGTATACGTTACTTGGATAAAAATTTCATATCAAATTATAAAAAAAAAAAAATTAACACAATAAAAGATGTTAGTAAAAAAAGTACAAAAAGTAAAATAAAAAAAAACATTTATATCAAAATACTTATAAATAACTAGAAAACTGTGCATGTGTTGCGACCATACATACCGCGATTGCGTGACTTATTATACATTTTAGGGTTATACTAAGGAAAGTAACCTTGGTGTATGGAAATTAGAAAAAAAAAATTGGTACTTCTGAAAGTGGCAAAGCCAAAGTTCTACTAAAACGAGAGAAATCAAATTAAATAAAATGATCCCATGATACAAAACAAATAAATGTTAAAAGGAAACAATGGATGTGAAGTTTGCAAAGAAGAAAGTTAAAGAAACCTGAAGAAAGTTCGACCCACTTTTAATTGGGCTTTTCTTTTTTTACAAACCTTTGGTTGACCATTGCACTTTGCTCCAAAAATAGCATCACTTGAAGCGCTTGATTCGATCATCATAAGTTGATGCTCACGGTCGTCCACCGTGTGGGCAGAAGTCAATTCGACACCCAGACTTCGTCATGCCTATTTAGACCCAATTTTAAATTTGGGCCTTTTTTTTCTTTTTTTTATAAACCTTTAGTTGGCCATTGCACTTTGCTCCGAAAATAACATCACTGGAAGCGCTTGATTCGACCATCATAAGCTGATGCTCACAGTTTGTCCGCCGTGTGGGCAGACATCAATTTGACACCCGGAGTTCGTCATGCCTAGAGCCGTCAAATGAGTGGGTTGGATAAAAAATGGGCCAATCAAAATTGACAATTTATATGCAGTATAAATTTAATGACCGTACCTGACCCAATTCGACCCATTTACTAAAATACTTTCATATTTTATTAAACCTATGAAAGTTCATATCCACCTCGTTAACCCACTTTAAACTCTTCATGCATATATGTTATTTGGATAAAATCTCTATTTCGACTATAAGATGCTAAAGAATTGGTTTTAAAATTTGCATAGAATTTTCAATTTTTGTAATGATTCACAATGAAGAATAAGAGAAAGTTAGTAGTTAGAGTGAATTTATAAAATTACAATAACAAATAACGCGAAGAAATTGAAATTTTAATTAAATGGAATGTAAGATATTGAAAAAAAAATGATTTATGCTGAACATGGACTGTAATAACAAGTACTAAGATTAGAGTATTACATAAAAACTACAATGTCAAATGGAACCAGGGAAAGATTTACTCTAATAACTAATAGATGAAATTGGGCTCTGTTTTAGTAGACCCATTTTAATGCATATATTGAATTTTAAACAACCCACATTCCACCTAGCATAACAAGTATGAGTTAAAATATGGGTGTATGACCCATTTTGTCATCCCTTAAGTGTTGGTAAGTTAATTCATTGCAATCGGAACTCATGCTCTTGGATTATGAATGCCCATTAGGCTGAAAGCTTGAACAATTTGGAGAATATCTTGCAATGTCTTTCAACCATCTTATCCATTCCCGAATAAATGTCAACTCATACTTTTGCAGTCTATGGAATCGTCAAAGTTTGTGTGCGCGTTTTATCTGTCTTTCTAACCAACTTGCTGGGTTAATTCATCCATCTTTATTTGAGTGACTTACTAACTTTTTTTTCCAATCAGATTACCAAACTTGTGTTTGGTTGCTAACTCTAATTTGTTACTTTCTAGCGTTTATCTATCATGTATAGTTTTCCTATGTGCGTGCAGCCGAAGGTAACTCAGTGGCCTCCATTTCCGCAACCATGACAAGCAAATGCGCGTCGACTTTGGCTCCTTTGTGAGCAAGTAGTTTGTGGAAAACCTCATCGATGCAAACATAAGAAGTCCCATGTCATGACTGCTGTACAAGAAGAAGAGGTCAATATGAATTCAATATGAATTCGCAGAAACGAAATTGTAATGGAAAGCAGTGTCCAAAACAAGATCTGCATCTGGACTGTTCAGTGCAGGTGGATATTAGCCGAGAACTGTTCGAGCAGTCAGGGAGTATGTTTAATTGAATTAATTAATGTCGTTGATCACTGTCATGAGTGCAAATTGTTGGGCTAAATTTCAAGCGCGCAATACTTGATTCTGTAATGATTGGTTGCTAGAACCGCCTGATGTATATAGGAATTTGTTGATATCAGATGTGAAAACTAAACCCCCTTGATTTGCTCGAGCAATGAGACCGATCAGTTTATCGGCCTAAACTCAAGAGAAGGCATTGATACAACCGCCAAACTCCGAGAGAGTGTCGGGTAGTCGAGGGTATCCCGACCATTTTCGATCCCGACGTTTCGGACTCTCTTCTGTGACTTTCGATCACCGATCCGAAACCTGGAGCCGAGCCGAGGCCAAGTCGTCAGTAGCGAGCCATGGAAAAGGAAGTGGACATTACTTCTCCACGGCGATATGGATCGACATGGGCGATCAACCGAGAGGTCTGACCATCCTAGACTAGGGGTGATCGGTTCCCGGTCCGGTCCGGTTTCAAGGTGGAACCGGGAACCGGACCGAGAGAACCGGTTCCCAATTTTGGGAACCGCGGACCGGACCGGTTGGTTCTAGGACCAGGAACCGGACTGGACCGCCGGTCCGGTCCGGTTCCGGTTCGGTCCAATGGAACCGATCACTTAGAGTTTAGTTTTTTTTTTTTGGTTAAACACTTAAGGTTTTGTTCACATTTTACTAATTTTTGTCAATGAATTTATGTCATTGAAGTTCACTTAGGATTTAATTTACATTTTACTAATTTTTATCAATGAATTTATAATAATGAAGTTCACTTAGAGTTCAGTTCACATTTTATTAATTTTTTTAAAGAAAAAATAACAAAAAAATATATTAAATAGTCGGTCCGGTCCGGTCCGGTCCGGTCCGGTTTCCTCTTGGAACCGGGAACCGGACTGCCCGGAAATCGGTTCCGCTTTTAGGAACCGGGAACCGGACCGATAGTCCCGAGAACCAGACCAAATCCGTCGGTCCGGTCCGGTCCCGGTTTGGGCGGTCCAAGTTGCTCACCCCTATCCTAGACCGGACAAGCATCGTGTGGCTCGTGCGTAAACCGCTAGCGGAAAATCCACAATCTTAGAGATTTGACTCGAAGAAGGTGAAAATAACATCATGGCAAACGAAGTTTCAAGCATCCACGAACAGGGCATTGATGATCATGAGAAAGTATGAAGACCCCCTTTTTTTTCCTTTACTCCAAATCTGTCAAAAGTGTCTGTAAGATCAAAGTACAAAAAATCCGTCTAGAATTTTGTTCTCTTGTACATGTATAAACCCCCGTGTCTGAACAATCGCTTTTCGGTTTTCCGCCTACAAAAACTACCAAAAAAATTCTGTAACCGAGAGAAATGTCGCCGGACGTCGTCGCCGTCGCCGTCGACTCAACAATGCTTGATGTGAGTAGTTCTGGTCTCATAGCTCACCAACCCAGAATCGACAGTGTTGCACCCGGATCTCAAGACCTTCACCAGATCACGGCACATCCTCCTCACGTCCGCATCTTCTTCGGTCTGCATCACCAGCAAGACCTTGGTCACGCCATTGCTCCTCCACACACGCTCCTTCACCCTCGAATCTCCGGACACGCAGCACATGCTCCACAGCACCGCCACCGCGTCCTCCGTCGCCGCCTTCGACACCTTCATCAGCCTCCCCACCAGCGAGCTGGCGAGCGTCGCGTCCTCGCTCATCGCCTGCCGCCCTTCCGCGACCGTCGAGACCAGCTGCGTCAGTCTCAGAGCGCGCTCGACGGTCGGGTTGGTGGAGTCCTGATTGGAGATGAAGCCGGAGAGGATCGGGACGAGGCCGAGCTGGACCAGCTGGGTCTTCATCGACCGAGCCGCCGTCACCTTGATGAGGAACGACAGGACGGCGTCGCGCAGGCTGTCGTCGGACTCGGCGGCGAGAAGCCGGATTGATTCGGCGAGGACGTCCTTCGTTTCAGCGATCGAGCGTTTGGACTCGTTGTCGACCGCGATTGAGTCCAAAATCCTCACCGCACCGATCTTCGACGCTAATCTTCCACTGCGCAGGACCGAAACGATCGGAGATAAGCAGTTCCCACGGTCGCTCCGGAGCAATCGCCTGCTCAACCGCTCTTTAACTCCATTTTCCGTCAAGATCGACTCCAGAACCCTCACCGCCAACTCCAAGACCTCGACTTCCGATTCCGAACCTCCATCTCTCCTCATTACCTGAACAATCGCCTCCACGAAACCGTCGGAACCGGCCAAGTACCTCCTGTTCTCCTCGCGGTAGCCCGCGAACTCCGCGACCTTCCTCAACGCGCCGCAGCAGCTCTCCCGGGCCGCTCCCGTCGCGATCTGCTCCATCAGGGCGCGAACCTCGGCGGGGGAGGACCTCGCCGCCGGCGGGGGAGCGAGGGCGCCCGCGAGGCGGGCGGAGGGGGAGGACTGGATCCAGAGGTGGATGAGGCGGTGGAGGGCGAGGTTGGGGACGAAGTCGGTGGAAGGGAGGGGCTGGTTGGTGGCGGGGCAGGTCTGGTGGCCGGACTCGAGCCAGCGCTGGATGGAGGAGCGGTCGTAGGTGACGCCGGTGCAGAGGCTCACCGGCGACCGCATGACGTCGAGCGAGATCGGGCACCGGAAGAGGCTCGGCACCGTGATGCGGAGCTGCTCCTCGCGCACCATCGCCGGCGAGACTGCTTCTCCGACGGATTTCACGGAGAGAGAGAGAGAGAGAGAGAGAGAGAGAGAGTTTTGGGAGTGGGGAAGGGGAGAGGATTCCGTGGGCTTTTGAAGGGGGGGAAAGAGGTCAAAGGGGTCAGTGCGACGTCGTTTTTGGGGCGGTGAATAAATTTGGTCATTGGTCAACTCAACGTTTTATTTTCTTCATTGATTTTATTTATTTTTTTATTTTTTTGTTCGATCGATTTGTTAATTAACGTGGGCTATCGAGTGCGGACCGTGTGCAGCTGTTTTTTCTCCGGAGTTCAAATTATTTTATAAATTATTTTTTTTTCGTCGAGGGTTGACCCGTGTGGAGCTGTCGGAGAGTGGTTGTTGACTGTGGAGTTGGAATAGAAACTCGCGAAACGGGGGTGGAGCCAAAAAAGTCTTTTCGCCTGACCCCGTACTCCGCGGGTCCAACGGAGTTTCGTCATTCCGTTGAAATTTTTTTTTTTACGACATCGCGATCTTCCGGACCGAGATCCGTCCGACGGTTGAGATCTGTCGTGTTTCGATTCGACGGTGGAGAGATCGCGAGGGGTGCCGCACTCCTTGGTGAGGGCTATAGCCCGGCTCGGATCCTGCGGAGGAATCCACCGTCGTTCCTAGGCACCGTGTCGCCGCCACAGATTTCGGCATCTGATCGGAAAGTAAAGAATCACAATTGTCCAGCGGCAAGTGATTGTGAGGGCATTGCATCCCATGGGGAGTCCGTGAGAGTCGTGGACCGGCTATTGAGCAACTGTTATCGATAAAGTTGAATCGATGGATGATAGTAGCTTTTCGAAATTGTGGACAAAAATTGCTCCTGAATTAAATAATTAGCAACTCGATTGTTTTAATCACTACTTGTTAGTAAGTTACGATGTAGTACCGACAGTTGGTCAATTGGTCCAGGACTAAGTGCATAAGTCGATACTCACAAGCTCAATTCCTCAATCTATTTTTTATATGAGGATATTTTGGTTAGTTTGCAAGAGGTGAGCCTTCATTTAGGTGTATCGCAAATATTGGACTCCCTTGCAGGACCCAATGCCTGAGGGTCATGAACATGCCCATCGAACTTTCTCGCCGGCAGCTGGACTCCGCCGTCGGGCCCCGGTCATCGATCTCCAAAACTCGCCGTCAGCCGCCAGTCGCCAACAAGAAGTATTCTCTCTTTGAAAACCAAAATCATTTTTGCTACCCGAAACAATCGAAAGGGGAAGCGATTACTTGGAATCGAAATCCATTCGACGATTTCTTGTCGTGGAATCAAAGGAGACCTAAGAGTTTTTTTTTTTTTTGGTCGAAAGGCGACCTAAGAGTTTAGTAGCTCTAAAACTTCCAATGCTACGCATCTGATGCATCATTAGCTTGTGTGGACTTCCATTAATTCATAACTTTGAACTAATGCCCGTCTGCCTAACCCTACACCCTCTGGAAAATGTCATAATGAAACTTTAATAAGCTCTCGAGCCCGGTAAACCAATTTCAAAATTACAATGCATAAAGGCGGTCCAAATTAATAAATTATTAGTAGAATACGAGAAATTTTGCAAAAGACCAAATTGGGTTTTGCGCTCTGTGTGAGCGCTGGCATAGGAGTGATGCTCGCATTAACAATGTCAATCAGAATCAGAACAATGCTCGCATTGTAAAGTTGTCGAGGACACTCTGAAAATTTCAACGTTTTGGAGCTGGACGATGAAGGATTCAAAGGCCCACGAATTATATTTTAAGATTGGGAGACGGTGTTTCGGACAAGTGGAGATGCCGCGTGAAGTCGTGAGCGAGTCGAGAAAAAACGGGGGACATTTTGACTTGGGGACTCCCGCTAATGCTGACTTTTGTTTGTACACACCTAATGCATCAAGGGAGAGTTGCTCACATTACTTTACTCTTTTCTTTCTCTGTTGAGGTCCAGCGCGTTCCTGTTGTTCAACAGCAAATAAATTTGTTTTGTTCTTGCATTGCTTTTATATTAATCGTCCGCGAATATATATATGCTGGAACCAATGTCCCACCCTGTATCTCGGACAGTTACGCAGGATCTAAGAAAAGATCGCCCAAAAAAGATGCCGGAGCAATGAGATTATGGTATTTACAAGGTTTATATATACTCATGAATCAACTCCAAAAGTCTCTCTACGTATTCAAATACTTTTGTGCCCCACAAAAATATTACGAAGATAAAACGTCTGTATGCATATTAAAGGGTCTCGATCCTTTTTCTAATTTAGCCCCCGCCCCTCCACCTTTGCTACTGCACGTACCTCACCACCGTCGCGCCGGTAAGCTGTCCCGGTAAGTCGAGCCGGCCTATCTCTCTATCTTGACCTCTGTCAAACGAAGATAAGAGGAGGCTCACGGTGGTTGCGACAAGTGACCTCGGAGGTCATGAAGTAGCAGATTGGCCTCCAACGACCCACAACCCGACGCCAGATCCGAGCTCGTGTCTTCAAATTCGACTTCACGGGCCGAGGTCGATGTGAGAGAGATGAAAAGAAACGAGAAAAAATAATGAATAAATGAGTCATCCAATCAGCCTAATAATGAGGTAAATTAGGATATAAATTAATTTTCCTTCCTAAAGGCACTTCTTTATATGGTTTTATGATTACACAATAATTGCGAGAGCAACATGTGACATGGTCTCATATATACGCAATGAACGGCAATGAGTTATATTCGATTCATGATCTTGATGATAAATTAATCCTGCCAAGAGCAAGAGACCTCACGCATCATGCTCTTATTACTCCACTAATTCATTTGTATTTCCATCTATAATTAACTAAATAAATAGATGCCTATTCACAATTTAATTTACGATTCACAAGATGCATAAAAAATTCATTACATATCATCTCATTCTCCATTAATTTTAATTTTTTTTCGCCATTTCTATTCACGCGCAACGCGTGCGCCCCTTTCTCTAATGTGGTTGTATATATATGCGAAGAGTTTCGAACCTGATTTTTTTTTTTGTTGTTGTTATGATCGATACACTAGACATAAAGTCCGGAGAATCGGCATCTTAGATACAAAGGTGGAGAAGTACATAGAGCCAAACACGCCGGTTCTTAAAAAAAAAACGGCTCTTAATTTTCGCGAACCAGACGTCGTCATCCCTGCCCCTAAACTAGACATGAAGCTTAGGGAATCAGTTGTTTGCTTCCTCAATACCCGCAACGAAAGAAAGAAGAGCAAACCTCAATTCTTTCTAGCTGATCAGGAAGCGTGCGAGAGTTGGTCATCCTCTGGAGTTTTTTCCACGCAGGGTACGCGCGTGACCTGCTGGTAATATCGAGTGTGGTATGGGAGATGGAGGAGGAGGAGGAAGAAGAACTAGGAAGTCGTCGTGGACGTGTTTCGGGTCGTGGAACTCGCGTCGTACGTCGACCAAACCAACGTGTCGATCGATTTAAGAAAGAAAAAGAAAAGGAAAAGGAAAAGGAAGGAAAGAGAAGAGGTTTTTGGCTTTTTAGTCCGAAGGGTAGGCTTGAGGTTGCCGTGTTTGAACGAGTCTGTAACGAGACAGGACAAGAAAGCCCGAGCACGAGTTAGGACCCGTTGACTCGGACTCCGTCCTTCCTTCCTAACGCTGCTTTGCTGACTTTCCTGACCCGCCAAACTCGCGCAGTGGCTTGTCCACCACGTCGCCTTCTGAGTCGTTCCACGACCAGGAGGGTTTCAGAAATTCGAATTCGTGTTTGACACCGTCGGAACGAGATAAGGATGCCAGATTGTCCACTGCGCAAACACACAAATAAATAAATAAAATAAAAAAAACATCCTCAAAAATAGATTCACGGATAGTGGAACTCGTGCTATAGGAACCAACGAGAGAGATCGGTCTGATGAATAAGATTGCAGGGACAATTCACAATAGGCTGCTGGTAGTGCACTATGGAGCCGGCCTTAGGATCGTGTTTCGCTCTAATACCATGTTTTGATGATGATCTTGTATGGAAGAGAGGTAAAAGAAGAAAAGAGATGGACACTCGATGGTTAACATGGTTTCGCCGGCATCCACGGAGGTAAATCCCCAATACATCTTGTTTTCTTGGGTTAATACCACAAAAAACTCCAAACTGGTATACCAGTGACAAATTTACCCCAAACTAATTTTTTGATCACCAAAAACCCCAAATCGGTACATCTGTGATAAATTTATCCTTCATCAGTTTCCATCAAAATTTGTCGGAAGGACCTAATTGGCTCTAGATCAAAAGGTCTAGGACTAAATTGACATCATTAAAAGATTTGTCATTATATTAAAATAAATATAATAGGTTTAGGACTTTTTTACGCCTTTCTCACGATTTGGTATCGAACGTTGCCTTATTGTCTTATTATGCAAGTGGTCGACAAACATTATTTCTCAATATAGGTGATTAAATTATTAAATATTCACTATCTGTCGGCTACATGCAGAAGAAGTTGTCGAAATTTATAACGGTATCACCTAGCCTACTCTCGTAGCAGTAGCGAACCATGTGCAGTGTTTATTTACTTTACAAGCGAATAAAGGGATAATTAATCCCTTTTTTTAATATACCTTTCGAAAACTCCATTAATCCCTTGGTACTTAAAACAACAAAGTTTTTGTTTTTCATAACAATGATAGCGTTCGAGACTCTTTGGGTGCTAATTTGTACCGGGTTTGGCAATTGTTACGTCACACACATACTGAGTAATTACCGAAGACATACGTGTTAATACTTATGAGACCGGTGACCCCGAGAAAATGGCCACGCATGGTGTTTTGGACACAAATCTAGAGTGACAAAAACAATAAATTTTTCGAGATAAGAGCACTAGAAATCTTAAAACTTGTCACGAAAGTGCAATTAAATCCTAAAACTTGTCACGTTTGTTTAATCAAGTCCTTCCGTTAACTCCATGCAAACAAGTCCTAAAGTCTAAATAAAATAAGACACGTGAGCATTTTTTGTTTGCCTAATTGAACGGAATTAACGGAATGAACTGACTGAACCAATTTAACAAGTTATAGGACTTTATTGCACTTTTTGAAAATTTTAGGACTCAATTGTACTTTCGTGATAAATTTTAGGGCTTCCAATGCACTTATCCCGTAATTCTTCCCACTTGAGTAACCCTTAGAATTTTAAAGCCGAAAGTTAGAGCACAGATCAAGGACGTAAATATCGAGTCAACTCTCAAATGTCTTAAGCTCTTATAGTATGTAACCGATTCCTATACCCTTTTGTTTGGAGTTATCCTAGATTTCCTTGTTAGCCAATGAAATTTGTACCTAAATCTTAATTGTTGGGCTTTCTTTGTTGGATGAGATCGAGTTTGCAGTTTCGACTTTTTTTAGTGGGTTCAGACTCATAGCACTCTGGGGTCGGCCATGCACTATACCTACAAATTTTTAGGTACTTAACACACGAGATTACGAATTTGAGTGGGGGTAGAAACATAATTTGAGTTTGGTCAAAAGATAAAGAGGCCTTGTCCTCGCATTAATTCCTATTAATTCCTTGGCATCAATTTCTTGTTCTCATCTAATCTTGCCAGTGATTTCCGTCGTTGACCACCTAACCAAATGCGTTAGGAAAATATGTACTTAAGCCTTTTGTTCCCACTTGAGGTATGAGATGGATTCTCGTGGACGAGGGTGACTACGAAAGATGCGACAAAACAGAGCAATTGCCCTTTTGGAGTATCCTTTGAAATTGGTTTTGTTTAAAGTTCGATTCTAAAGGTTTTTGGTTCAGCCTGTTAGGTAAGAATGCACGCACTTTTGTCCCTTTTGTACCAATTTCGGATGGTTCTTATATTGTCCGCTATTGATAAAAAAAAAAAAAAAAACTAAGCAAAGTGTCCCGAAGAGATGGTATTGGGATGCCGACATTGTGCCATTAATAATATAAATCTAGTTACGAAATTGATTTTTGATTTCTTAGTTCTCGTATGTAAATGAAAAAAAGATCTTTTGCTTTTTATGCCAGGAAAGTCTTGGGGTGCGTGCATGTAATTCCTTTCTTTCTACCCCGTTTGCTTCGTGAAAAACATTTTTCCTCATTTTCCAACGTTTGGTTCGCTTAACAAAATGAGTTAACGGAAAACATATGCTCAAATTCAGGAAAATGATTTCTTCTTTAGAAAATCGAAAAATATTATTCAAATATATGACTAGGTATCGACGCTTGGACAAAAAACTTTACACTTGAGCACTGGAACCCCAATGTTGATTCCCGGGTCCTCGGCGTTTAGGATTAGGTCTTCGAAGCCTGGGACCGGGTCCATCAAGGCTGAGGCTGGGACCTCAGTGCCCTGGGTCCATTAAGGCTAGGCCCGAAACGTTGGTGCATGTGCCCAATGTCCCGACACCCATACTCAGGTCCATAAATGCTGTGCTTGGGTGTCCGATGCTCGAGCTCTGTTCCCTGGCACTTAGGGCTGGGCTCACAAAAGGCCCAGCACGGGTCCTTGGAGCATAGATTCAGGTCATTAGTTAATGAAATATTCGTTCTTATAAAATAATTTTAAAAAAATTGAATTTTTAATTTTTTTTACTTTTCACTTTTTCTTTTTTTTTTCTTTTCCTACCAGCCTCAGGCGAGGGACGAGCCTTGAGCTTGCCAGATTCTAGCGAGGATGCACCTTGCCTGGGGCCGGTCGCCAGTGACTAGCCGAAGAAGAAGGCAAATAAAAAAAGAAAAAAGATTAAAAATTCAATTTTTTATAAAAATAAAAAAATTATTAAATGGAGTGTACTGAGGAAAATCAAATCACATTTTTCATACCAAACGCCGTAAAATATTTTCAAGTTCACTTTCAGGTTTTAGCCAAACACCGGAAAATATAAATCATTTTCATTGAAAACATTTTTCAGAAATATCACATTTTTTCACGAAACAAATGGAGTCCAAAAGTTACCCTTTTCCATAATTATTTTACTATTCAAGATGTCAATTTTTGGATCTGGTGTTGAATATTATATGGTACAATCTTTTTTAAGAAAAGGATTGTGCACCGTCGCCGAAGGGCCGAATGAAATCGAACCAGAGCAGGAGCTTTGTGCAAGATGGGCCTATACTTGTCTTGTACTATTGTAGTAGTGAAAGCCCATGGAGACTCGTATGACCGGAGCTCTAGGCAATCCCACGTCGCCGACCATATCCTGTCGACCGGGGAGAGCTATAGCTGCTGCTGCATCAAAGGACAAGTGGGACCATCCGCATTCAAACTCCTGCGTTTCTTGTCCAATTTCACGTGATAGATAATAAGCCCACCTTTAGTTCCATGATGGTCTTGGCCGGCCATGTCCATGTCCTTCTGGCCACCAATTGGCGGCTTTTGCTGGACCGGAGACGGTCGTGAAATGGAATCACAACTCCAAGTCCGATTCACGATCGGAAGTAATCTCACGGTGGAGTCGTTTGAATCGCAACCCCGGGATCGAGGATCAGGTCGAGGCAGAATTTCCTTTCTCTAAAGTATCGGGAATTTGATGCTCCTCGTTTCTTGATTATTCATCAGTCCGTCCAAACAATAAGGGATGTCCACGGCTTTGGAGTGGTACGTGAGTACCGCGACTCGTCCGTTACCTAAGTCTCTGGTTAGAGACCAACTTCCCAAAGAATTCGAAAATCTCCAGAGTGAAACTCAATTTCCAAAGATCATCAAAGACTACCCCCATGTATCTTTTAGAAATCAAGAACTGAAGTGTCAATCGCTAGGTTGATTTAATATCCATTTGGTGGGTACTTTGAGCGTCATTTGATGGGCAAAACATACTTGACAAGAATACTTTCATCAATCCTTTAATTGTTATTCATACCCTTTTTCAGTTTCAACCCCCACATGCTGTATCTTTTAGAAATCAAGAACAGATTTGCCAATCGCTAGGTTGATTTAATATCTATTTGGGTACGTTAAGTATTATTTGATGGGCAAAAGATACTTGACAAGAATACTTTCATCAATCCTTCAAATTGTAATTCGTACCCTTTTTCTGTTTCAACCCCCACATGCTGCATCTTTTGGCTGACACTCGCTACACAAACACACCTCCTGAAGACCCGGTCAGAGCCCCTGCGGATCCTGCGTGGTGTTTGCCTGGTGCTTTGTCCATTTCAAACGAGCTCTTCATTTATTATGATGTGCCAGTTGGTGAATCCTTTTGTCCCTCTATTTTATTTTGATTATATTCTGTAAAGATCTAACAGCGAGCGGCTGGTCCATCCTCCTGTTGGTCAACAACAACTGCTGCTGCTGCCCTCGCAATTGAATCAGGAAACACGACCCAGCATTTACTTCCCCATGTTTCCACATCGCCATTTGCATTTACTCAGAGAGAGAGAGAGAGAGAGAGAGAGAGAGACTTCATGTTCAAGACACCCAATAACAACATAAGAGAAGAACACCACACGATGTTTTTATGGCTGATATGGTGGACAGGATTGTGGTGTGCATCTGAATATCAATAATCACTAGTGCA